GAACCTCTAGAAGCTGGAAAATCCAGAGAACCACTTTATCCTCCAGAAACTTTAGAACTGAACAGACATGTTGACACCTTGTAACCCATTTAGGATTTCTGACCTCTAGAACTGTAAGATAATAAATTTGTGTTGGTTTAAGCCACAAAATTTGTAGTAATTTGTAATAGCAATAGTACAAAACTAATACAGACATCTTGCCAAAATTTGATTTTTCTGACCTCCACTTATAGATTCCATAAATTTCCCTTTCTTAAATTCCACCTTTTAAAAAGCAAAATAATACAATAATTAGGTGCAATATTTTAGTTACAGTCACAATCCAAATAGACTTCCCTATATGAATCACCTTGACTGAATTGCAGATGTTCACCAATTGTGTGGACGTTCCGTGTTCTCGGGAATCTTCTTAGTAATGAACCATATTTTAGTCCTGGGATCTTCTGACAATAAGAATCCTGGGCTCTAGTTCTAAGGTTTCTAATTCATGAATTTTATTCTCTCAAAGGCCATTTTGGACTAAAAACAAAAGGTGAATTCTAGAATCCCCTAAATTCTCTGGAGACTCCAAATCTGGGAGTATATAGGGCAGAAAAAATGCCCAATGGCATGTGTAAAGTTGGCACATTGCAAATCAACATATTTGATTATTTTCTTTGCAGACTACAATTCTGTTATAGTGTCAAAGGTTTGTGGTACGACAGAGCAAATATTTTTTCCCCAAGGTAAGCACTATCTCTAAGAACAAAGTTCTTCATGATTTACATTATAGAGTCTAGACTTGTTTTAAATAATAAAGAGCTAAAAGTTGTTGAGGTCTTACCATGTACCAGGCACTATTTAAATTTCATTTAATGTTCATTTAAATCTTACAGCATCCACATGACTTACTTAGGTACTATGATTTTTCCTGTTTTACAGATGAAGAACTGAGGTTCAGAATAGCTAAATATTTTAAATCAAGGTTAGACACCTAACCTGTGGCAAAATTATTATTTGAACCCAGTCAGTCTAGTCTAGAGAATGAGTTCTTTTTTTTCCTCCATGTAATTATTTGTTGTTTTTAGATATATATGACAGTAGGATGTATTTTGACATATTATACATACATGGAGTTCAACTCATTATGATTTCGATCTCATTCTTGTGGTTGAACATAATGTGGAGTTACACTGGTCATGTATTCATATATGAGCATAGGCAAGTTATGTCTAATCTATCCTGTCTTTTCTATTCCCCTCCCGTTCCCATCCCTTCATTCCCCATTGTCTAATCCAATTAACTTCTATATTTCCATTCCCTCTCCTCCCTTGTTATGGGTTAGCATCCATATATCAGAGAGAACATTCTGCCTTTGGGTTTTGGGGATTGGCTTATTTCACTTAGCGTGATGTTTCCAGTTCCATCCATTTACCGGCAAATGCCATAAAGACATTATTTTTTTATGGCTGAGTAATATTTCATGGTATATATATATATATATATATATATATATATATATATATATATATATATACCACATTTTCTTTGTCTATTTATCTGTTGAAGGGAACATAGGTTGGTTCCATATTTGGCTATTGTGAATTTAATTGTTGTAAACATTGATGTGGCTACATCACTGCAATATGCTGATTTTAAGTCCTATAAGCTGAGGAGTGAGATAACTGGGTCTAGTGGTAGTTCCTTTCTAAGTTTTCTTAGGAATCTCCATACTTCTTTCCAGACTGGTTGCACCAATATGCCATCCCACCGGCAATGTAAAAGTGAACATTTTCCGCCATATTCTCATCAACATTTATTGCTACTTGTTTTCTTAATAATTTTTATTCTGACTGGAGTGTGATGGAGTCTCAGTGTAGTTTTAATTTGCATTTCTCTAATTGCTAGAAATGTTTAACATTTTTATTTTCTTTCTTTCTTTTTTTTTTTGGTCATTCTTATTTCTTTTTCTGTGAAGTGCCTCTTCAGTCTTTGCCCAATTATTGATTGGGTTATTTGGGTTTCAAAAACTCAAAAGTTTTTTTCGAGTTCTTTGTATATGCTGAAGATTAGTATAAAGACTGAATTCTTCACTAGTACACTTTACCACAATTTAGGGGTTTAGTCATCTTCAAAAAAATATAGGTATCCAGGAATAAAGAGAGGAACAGTGAATGACTAAGTAGAGGAAGGGATATTTTTTACAATAAAGACTAAAAGTACCAACAAAATAGTTAAGATCATAGTTTAATTAAAAATGAGAAGACAGTTTCTAACAATAGTTTTTCAGAGAAGTAATTTATACCACACCTGGAATAAATAGTCTTGATAGTTCTATTAAAGCTGTATAGCTGGGTGCAAATTTATTGCACTAAGAATCAGAAGGACTGGATTCTAACTGTGCTTGTTGCTCTCAAAGTCACTTGATAAGGACACTATAAATGTATTCATGCTGTTGGTGAAAGCACTTGAAGAAGAAAAAGGATAAATGTTTTCTTGTCACAAGAGGATAAACACTAGTAAGAATTATTAGGAATTTATTGAACACATCTCTGTTTAAAAAGGAAAAGGTAGATTGAAAATTGGAAAGGATAATATTGATTTATTTATTGTTTAAATTATGTGGATAGAAAGGGTTGAAAAATAATACTCCTACCATTATAAAGAAAAGGTTGGAAATCTGGTCAAAAAAGCAAATCTGTATGGCTCATCAATTCTTTTGCACATAGAATTTAGTTTACAACTTTGTAATTTGTTCTAACAAAGCTATCCTTAAATAATGTTAACTTTTTGGGGGGTTAAATAAGTTTAATTCATCCTACATTTATTGAATGAAGAGTGATTTACTTCAAGGGTAATTTACCCTGTAACTAAGGAAGCCTAAGCCTCAGGTCCCTAACCTGCAAGGTCCCTGCGGGTATTGGGTGCTGCTGGGCATTTACTTTTCTGGATGGAAAGTAGAGCAACAACATTGTAAATAGAAGTTCTATGTTGGACTTCTGGTAAAATGTCTAAAAAATCTCCCAGAAAGATTTTTTCATAATTCTAATAATTTGCTGTGGTTTCTTTGTGTGTGTGTGTGTGTGTGTGTGTTTTGTACTGGAGATTAAACTCAGAAGTACTCTACCACCAAGCTAGAGCCCTTTTTAAAATTTTAGACAGGAATTTTTATACAGGGTCTTGCTAAATTGCTGAGGCTGGCCTTGAACTCAAGATCCTCCTGTCTCTGGAGAACCTGGGATTACAGGCATGCACTACAGCACTAAGCTGTCACCCTTTCAACCTAGTTTTGTATCTGTAACATTACATTAAAGCACACCAGTTCCTCAAGTGTGATGGCAAATGCCTGTAATCCCAGCTAATCAGGAAGCTGAGACGAAAGGATTGTAAATTCAAGGCCAGCCTGGGCAACTTAGCAAGACTTTGTCTTAAAATAAAAAATAAAAAGGGTTGGGGATGTAGCTCAGTGCTTGCCTAGCATACGCAAGGTCCTGGGTTCAATTCCCAGTAGCACAAACAAACACACACACACCAAACAAAACGAAATGAAACAAAACCCCACATTTTCTCTAATTACGTAAGAATAAGTTTCAAATTCCAGTATTTTCTGTGCCTACTCTGTGTTATGCCCTGAACTAATGAGGATACAGAGATGAATAAGCTGTTTTGTGGAAGAAAGAGTGCAGAATTAGGCATCAAACAGAATTAAGTACAATGACAGAAAAAAATTGTAATTGGAACACATAAACACTAGTAATTTCTCACAGAATCCTCATCTTCTGGATGATGCCAGGCTGACAAAACAAAAACCAAAAAAAAAAAAAAAAAAAAAAACCCCAAAAAATAGAGTTGGAGAAATCTTAAACCTCTGAGAAGAGCCCATAGACTGCAGTTCATTAAGATAATGTCTTTCAAACATTTTGACTATAATCTGCAGTGTTCACAAATATAATATATATTCCCCCACATTTCTCAGCATCCCTGGTAATTAAGTTGGAGGCAGGTGTGTATTCTGGTCAATGTGTCATAAGGATTGTGGTTTCTTCTTCAACGCTTCTGATTAAGAGCCAGTTAAGTCCTCTGTGCTCTCTAGAAAGATTTTAAGTTGGAAGCAAAGATTATCAAGATGGAATCAAAGAAGGCAAACCAACTTTATGGGAATTCATAGGAGTGATATAAATGTAAAATACTTTAATGTTAAGCTATGAATATCAGCAATAAGAATGGAGAGTTGTTGCCTTACTTCAGCCTATTCTAGCTCATCAAGACTAATTCACCTAATAATAAATGCATTCGCATCTTGACACAATATTTGTACAACTTAATCAAATTAAAATATACTCTTGCTATTTCTGACATATCTAATAATTCTGTTCCATTTCATTTAGGAAAACGGTTATCTCATTTGGTTAACCATATCCTAATTGATTTCCACCTATCTGAGAAAACTATTGTACAAAACTGCCTCAGAATTCTTCCATGAACAAACTTTAGGTGTTTCCATTTAGAAAAAAAATGTTTTAAATGCAATATTACAATGATAACAGAAAGGAAAAACGCAGAAACATATTACTTCGTCTTGTACATGTGCATATGTGTTCATAACATGTTTTAGATATTGTGCAAAACTTGCTGTGGCACTGAAATACTGTTGCTCTGAAACTGCTTTCATCACTCTGAAAGAACTCCATTAAGAATACGCCAAGCTTTGTGCTAGTAGGAACGCCACTAACATCACTTGATCCAAAATCGTCTTCATTTCTTTCTTTCCAATTGCAGGAAAAAGAAGTGAAACCACAAAATCTTATATTTTATTACAATAACAGAATGCTGTTTTGGAGGTCAGGACGATGAAATAACGAGACCTCAAACCAGGACGCTCATTCCAAGGCACAGCAGTCACACAATCCACTTCAAAGAAGAGAAGTCGAGGCCCTGCCGGCTCTTGGCCGAAACCGTCATAAGGTCTCGCGAGAGCTTTCCCACCACCGCGAGCCCACAGAATCACTAGTTCCGGTCTCCTATCTTAGCTCTCACGCTTCTCTCCTTCCTCCTCTACTGCTAGCCGCGCCGGAACTTTTGTTGGTAGGAACGGGTTTATACAATTGAGTGTTGCTGGCCGGCATCGAGGAGAATTGGGTGCCGTCCTCTTCCTGTCGCCGTCGTAGCGGCGGAGCGGAGCCGAGCTGATCTGATCCAGGAGCGCGGTTATCCGACCGGCTGGGTCTATGGTCGCTCCGCGAGCCGCTCCGCCGGCTGGTGCTTTTTTATCAGGGCAAACTGTGTTCCATGGCAGGGAACTTTTGGCAGAGCTCCCACTAGTAAGTGATATTCCATGTTCTCGCCCGGGGCGGTTGTTAGTGGGAGGTGAGGACGGGGCCTTGGACTCTCCTGGGCCTGGAACCCAGCCCACGTCCCAAGCGCTGATGAGGGGTGCCCCTCGAGGTGCCCCCGAGAGGCCGCAGAACCAGAAGTGAAATGCACGGTATTGAGGCGACTCTCCTCCCTACACATGCCGAGTTTCTTGGGCGCGGGGCGGTGGTGGATCTGTGAGCAGGAAGGATGGAGAAAGGGGTTCAATATCCTGGAAAAAAGATTCAGGAGTTTTCATTTCGGGTTCTTGGGTTATCTAGGCCTGAGCGTGAGATGAGGTGACTCAGTTTACGGTTGTGAGATTGCCGGTTCCGCATAGTTGTGGCTTGTTTTTGCCTAGGATGCGTTCAGGGAAATGGCTCTTTTGTCATTTACCTATTTTGATTGGTTTTAATATTCCGAGGAGAGGAGGAAGTCAGGCTTGTTTCTGCTTGCTAACCGTTTGCTGCCTTTACAGTAATGCCTTCATGGAGTTTTACCCTCACAAGGTATAGGCCTCTCAAAATTTATTCATTTCTTTGCCGTTTATTTTATATTTTGTCTTAAAAGCGGGCTTTCCATTGATTTTTGTTTACCTGTACATTTAGCCTTTTTCATGTATAGGTTTTTGTTTGTTGGTCACCGTGGACGAGTTGGAGTGATAGTAAAAATATTTACCTCTAAATATATTTGTTTAAGCAGGCAAGAAGGTGCTTGATGGGACTAATTAAACATGGACTAGACTTTAACACCATTTAGTTGAAAGATGAACAGAACTTGATAAAGAAAATATCCTAGTGTGAATAATTTTAATGCCAAGAGCATTAATAGCTAATTTAAATTTTTATTTTGAGTAGGATCGGTTCCTGTTATTCACCGATTTTTTATGTTTGTGTGAGGAAAAAAAAGAAACAGTGGACTTAAACCTGTTTTCCCAAAAGCGTGTTCTTTCTTGCGGTAACATCATTCTGGGGATGTGAAGTGCCATAGAAGCTTTCATATGGGCCATATCACTTTTATATTGTATTGCTTTTACTTCTGAAATATTTACTTGGACAGTTGAAATAGAAAGTTCAAATAGTGGAGAAGAAATATTATGATAAACTTTGAAAGAACCTGAGAAATTGACCGGTAGCTGCCTGTTGATTGTCAGAGGTTTTTCAGTTTTTTAAACAAAGATCTTGCCTCCCCTTTTAAGAGCATTTTTGTTATGCTTTCACTTACTGTTATTATTCTAAACCATTTTTTTTCACTTTTCAAATACAAAATTATAAAATTAAATGGGCTTTTCAATAACTATCCTTGCCTCCCAATTTGAATTGATCCAGAGGAAGGGGCTGCTTGGCTTTACTCAAATCCTTTGAGAATCATGGAATTCCTGATCTACCCAAGGTAATAAGTAGGAAAGATATGACAGTTCTTTGAAAAAATGAACAGGGCTGTGGTAGAGGACTTGCCTAATATGCACAAGGCCCTGGGTCCTGTCCCCAGCACCACAAAAGCAAACAACCACCAGAAAAAAACAAAACAAAACAAAAAAACCCCAAAGGTCATTGTTTTATGTGAATATGGTGAGAACGGAAAACAGGTATGAAGCATGCTGTATTTCAAGTTTTCTTATTTTACATTAATGTCAGGTTTTTTCGCAGCTGCATGTGAAAATAATTGTGAATCTTACATGTGATCTTTGATGAAATGGGAGTACTTATAAGTCTTCTAGGTTTATTTTGCAAAGTACTGTGAGAAAAACTATTAAAATATTTGTTAGTGAAATTTATCTTAAAAAAATACAATGACTGTAGAGTTGAAATTATTGCACAAGTCATAGTATATTTTAGAAAGTTGAATTAGAAAAACACATTGTAACCAAAACACAATGAAAGTAGAAGGTCATCAGATTTGCTAGTTGGTTGAATGAATGAACAGGTAACAAAAATTAAAATTACAAAATCAACAGCTACCTTATTGTAGCAGAGAGAAAACTTAACCGTAATAATTATACCTAAAAAAATATGAGATCAACATATATGTGATGTAGTCAAAGCCCAATTTTTTAGAAAATCAACATTTTCCACTCCTGCATAAATGGGAAAGAATATAAATCGCCTTTAAAAATACTGTATTATAAAAGGAACTGTGAAATAAGCCAAAAAATACAGAAAGACTTAATAAAATAATATTGAAATCAATTTATTAAAAGGAAAAAAATGATGAGTTGGTTCTTTAGGAGAACCAAAAGAGAAGAAGGCTAAATCACTGCTAATTAAATCAAAGGAAAAAGAGATGGTAGAAAATTAAGAATGGGAAAAGTAAATAAACTCAGAGTACTTTTGGGTTATTGCTGTGGTAATAAATTTGAAAGCCGAACCAAATTAAGAAAATTACCAGACAGATATCCTTAAAAAACACATTGTTTTTTCATGGGTAAATTCTTTCCAATTTTCAAGAGCATCTGCTGTTGAATTTGTTCCAGTTAATGAAGAAAGAAGGAAAGCTATCCAGTTTTCTTTATGAAGCCATGATCTCAATGATAGAAAAATCTAGCAAGGGTGCCTTGCTTTTGCTGAGTCTGGCTTTGAACTTGAGATCCTCCTGCCTCAGTCTCCTGAGCCACTGGATTATAGGTGTGAGCCATCATGCCTAGCCCATTGGCTCTATTTCTAGGAAATTATTTCAAATATATTATTAACCAAATATGCAAAGATGAATTATAAAGGTATTATTTGAGGGCTGGGGATGTGGTTCAAGCAGTAACGCGCTCGCCTGGCATGTGCAGGGCGCTGGGTTCGATCCTCAGCACCACATAAAAATAAAATAAAAGATGTTGTGTCCACCAAAAACTGAAAAATAAATATTAAAAAAAAATTCTCCCTCTCTTTCTTCTCTCTCTCTCTCTTTAAAAAAAATACATATTAGTTGAACCATTATTTGTAATAGTGAAAAATAATTTCCTTATATATATGTTAGTAGGGATTAAATAAATACTGATCCTTCCTTAAGGCTGTTAAAAAGATGCTGAATAACAAGTTCTTTGACTTATAAAGACTCCCTATATATACTGAGCGACAAAAGCAGGTTGTAGAATATATTGTTTTTATTCATGTCAGTTTCATATCTGGTTAAATAGTTTGCTTGACTAGGTAAGAAGAGGGAGCTATAAATGTAATTATGAAACAGCTTTTAACGTGATTGGAATTTGTGAAGTGGGGAAATTAAATATCTTCTTCAATCAGGAACAACTGAGAAAAGCTATACTTCGTCAAATCTAAGGCACCATCAGTTGGTGCAAAATAGTTGTACCATTATTTTATGTTTTACCAAGAAAGAGTGAGTACACATGCTACCAATTAAAAGACATCACTGATTCTAAGATTCATCTTGATATCAATTTTAGAACTAATGAAATAGAATATAAACTAGTGATAGAAAGATTGAGGAGGATGAGGGAAAAGATGAGAGCAGAATATTTTTCGGGGCATATTTATGTTTTTGAGATAATTTTTACTAGTTTGCATTTCAGGAAATTGTCTTTTAGGATTACTTCTTGCACTTTGTACTGCTCAGAATATGTGTAGCCTCTTTAGTCTTAAAATGACTATGATTTTCTGTGACTTTGTTTATTTTCTACAGCATGTTTTAATATCTTTATTCCTTCTAGTTTGCAGTGGATTTTGGATAAACAAGATCTGTTGAAGGAGCGCCAAAAGGACTTAAAATTTCTCTCAGAAGAAGAATATTGGAAACTACAGATTTTTTTTACAAATGGTAAAAATTTTTTAAATTGGTTGAAATATTAGTTACCTTTGAATAAGAATGTTTTTGTATGATAATTTATGATGAACTGTCATAATCTGTACTTAAACATTTTTATTTATATATGTATTCTTACAACTTACTCATTTATCTTTTTATTGATCTGAATAAAGTTTTTGTGAACTATATGTCAGAGACACTGGACAATTTGAAAGTGTTAGTAATCTCCTTAAGCTTTTATAAAGCAACCCACTTTAAGGTTGGCTAAAGCAAAGTACTTTGAGGATAAATGATTCTTGGAATTGGCATCCTGTATTTGTCATTTTTACCTTAGAACTTTGCTTTGGAGGAAAGAGGATTTACTCAGAAGACCTGTAGTATGTCTTGGTATATTTTTGTCACATATTCTTTCTAATCCTCCATTGTTTTGAGGATTCATTATGGATTTTTTTGGTAAAGTATATAAAATGATAGTAATAATTAGTTTGATAGGTAACTTATTTTTTCATATTTATTATAATGTGAATGTGAAAAGCATCAAAAATATTTAGAATTAAGAGGAGGATTGTCAACCATTTGGCTTCTTTACTGCAAGACCAACTTTTGCAGTGGGACAATTTCTCTTTTTAGTTTATGCATAATGCTCTATTTTTTTAAACAAATTAACATGTATAAATTTTTCTTTTGTTAAAAGTGAGTGTAGGGGCTGGGGATGTGGCTCAGTGGTAGCGCGCTCGCCTGGCGTGCGTGAGGCCCAGGTTTGATCCTCAGCACCACATACAAACAAAGATGTTGTGTCCGCCGAAAACTAAAAAATAAATAAATATTTTTTAAAAAAAGTGAGTGTAGTTGTGAATTAAACACGTGGAAGTTACTGTTTAAGGTTAATATTATTTCAAATAAGGGCAGATGGTACATTTAAAACTCTTTTATTATTTTTAGTTATTCAGGCATTAGGTGAACATCTTAAATTAAGACAGCAAGTTATTGCCACTGCTACAGTCTATTTCAAGAGATTCTATGCCAGGTAAGACTGTTTTATTTTAAGAATATGTTATACCTATTTGTAACTGCTGTCTAATGTTGAGGAGCTTCAGTATAAATGAATCAGTTGTTTGCAATAGAGTTAAATTGTGATTCCCCCTACCCCCTGTGTTTTCTAAGTGGGTAATATTTAACTTTGTTTTATCATATTTTAGGTATTCTCTGAAAAGTATAGATCCTGTATTGATGGCTCCGACATGTGTCTTTTTGGCATCCAAAGTAGAGGTATAAAACAATTTCTGTTCTCTGTCAAAGTGTTATTCAAGTATATTGGTTAATCTTCCCCAGTTTTTACATTGCCTGTGTAAGGATGATAATAGATGGTAATTTATGCAAAATATTTTGTACAAAATCGAAATATATGCAAATCTTATCTTTATTTTATGTATTTACTTAACTCTTATATAGCACTTCTTATATTTTAAGGGCTTTGTAAGTTTTTTTTTTACAAATTCTGACTTAATCTTCATAACAAACTGTAGAATATATAGTAATAGTGTCTGCATTTTATGAAAGAGAGGACTGAGTCATAGAGACAAGTGCCATAGCTTGTCTACTATAACCTGAGAATGTCTCTTCTCCTTACCCATATACTTCTTACTGTCTTCCTTCTCTGCCTTCTGATGTTTGGCTTCCTGTCAAGCCATAGAGAAAACAAAAGGAAAAGCGAGAATTAGGAGGTGTTACAGCTGTATAGATTCTAACAAGTAAAAGTTTGAATAATGAGGGTAGAAAAATTAGGTGAGAGAAGAAAGATAGGAATTTGTAGGTGAGATTGAATTTCTGCCCAATTTATATAGTTTTCTTTTCTTTTTTTTTTTTTTAGGTGAGGGCATGGTAGTGGCTGGGGATTGAATCCAGGGCTTCCACATGCTAGACAAGAATTAAAAAGTAGCCACAGTCCCACTTTTAGGTATTTTTGAGTTCAGCTTTCAAGCTATAGTTCAGGCAATTGCAGCAGGTTTTACAAAAACTGCTTGTTTTTCATAACTAATCCATGCAATCATTTTTTAAAAAATATTTATTTTTTAGTTGTGGGTGAATATAATATCTTTATTTCATTTTTATATGGTGCTGAGGATCGAACCTTTTTATATGGTGCTGAGTGTCTCATATATACCAGGCAAGTGCTCTACCACTGAACCACAACCCTAGCCCCGTGTAATCTTTAGTATTACAAAACTTTTGTATTATATTTCTATTTTGACTGGCTTTTTAGAATAGGAATTATGTTCTTGAGAACTGTGATTTTAACCTAGTAAGTTTGCATTCCTTTTGTACCCATTTTGATTGTTTTGTTTTAGCCATTATTTAAGATTATCCATGCTCTTTCTCTTGCACGCCTGTAATCCCAGCAACTCACGAGGCTGAGGCAGGAGAATCACAAGTTTGAGGCAGCCTTGGCAACTTAGTGGGAGCCTATCTCAAAATAAAAAGGGCTGGGGATGTGGAGGCTTAACAGTATTAGAAATAATATTAAGAAAAGCATTTTAAGGTATAAGGTTTTTTGATTGTGAAAGATTTTCAAGTGTCAGAATTAACTTTGTTTTTGAGTTGTTTAATGGAAAAGATAGTTTATAAAAGGCCTTTTATTATTGGGTAGTTTTCCCAAATATTATTATGTAATATTTGACTTTGTTTAGAAATGACCATCTAATATTTAATTTTATATATCTTAAACACAACCATTCTGGGGTGCTAAGATAAAAGTCTGTATAAACTTCCACTCTTGTAGATTAATTTTGGGGTTTTAATTTGTTAAATATCTTTTTTGTTACTTGGGGTTGCGGGGGTAGCTCAGTGGTAGAGCACCTAGTTGTAGCATGTGGAAGGCCCTGGGTTCAATCTCCCCAGTACCACAAAACAAAAATAAAAACAACAATTTTTGTTATTTGATTTACTAAGCAGAAGTCTGTTATATGACTTACTGAGTAAAAGTTTGTGCTTTAAGAATTTTGGAAAATTAGTTATTCCTGGAGGTGGTACAGGGGGAAATGTATCTTTTCAAATATGGTTGCAGCATGTTTTCACTCTTTACTATGATCAAATCTTTCTGTATTTTGCCCAGTTTTATAGCAGTTGTATACAAGTGGTGTTTAAGAGGATGTTTTAGACTCTTAATTTTTTTATTTTCACTTACCATGATTGAAGTTTAAATGTAAATACAAAAATAGACACACATATATTTTCCCCTATACACGCTAAGGATGCGAGTTGAAGATAATTTGAACAGTTTTTAGTTTCTTTTGTTGGATATGAAGCCAATTCTTGACTTTTTTTGGTGTTAAGATGAAGTGAAGGCTTTAGAATCTTATAAGTTTTATTTGAAATTAAATGGGAGAATGTATGTAAAATAGATCATCTGATAAATTTTAGTTGTTTTTATGGTGGTGGTATGTTAGGTTGAAAGAGGAAATGGGAACTAATCTTGGAAGTCTTATACTATATCATTCTTGTTTTTCTATTCCAAAAAGGATGATAGGTGCTTGTTTGGTATTTGGGGGTTTTTTTTGGGGGGAGCAGTGATATTCAAGTTTATCTTACTTAAGAAATTTGATTTTTTTAAAAGATAACTTAATTAATTAATTAATTAGTTAGTTAATTATGTGGTGCTGAGAATCTAACCCAGTGCCTCACACATGCTAGGCAAGCAAGTGCTCTACCACTGAGCTACAACCCCAGCCCAAGAGAATTGAGATTTATTACTAAATGGCATGACCTTTCTGTTTGTTATCAGGTTCAATCGAATAGAAAGCATACTTAATATTTATTCTTGCAGTTAAGTATAGAATCTAAAAGTTGTCCTGGAAACAAACCTAAGTGCAAAAAAAAGTGGCATTGTCACTTTGGGGCTTGGTTTCTTATTTGGTATTTTTACTGAGATTAAATTATAAAATTATTTAAAAATTTGTCTTGAATTGTGATGATCTCAAGGAAAGTTAATATATTTAGAAATTTAAAATACTTTGTGCCTCAAGTAGGTATAAGATGGACAGACTATAAACATGGGGACAGCTTGGAAATACTGTTTTAAATAGACCTCAGGTTTGCTTAGGTCTACTGGGTTAATATGTACCTGATCTCATCTACTTTTCTTTCTCTAGGAATTTGGAGTAGTCTCAAATACAAGATTGATTGCTGCTGCTACTTCTGTATGTAAGTGCAAAAGTATAATCTGCTTTTAGGATGTAATTCTAAAAAAAAAAAAAAAAACTCTCCATAGTATATAGATTTTTAGTTTATAAAATATATGAAAGATGAGTTGGGTTTATTAACATCTCCTGAGTATGCCTTTATGACTCACATATTTGTAAAAAAAAAAAAATTTAAAAAGATGTTTTTGCTTACATTATTATTTCTAGGACATTTCTTTAATGTTAAAAATGAATAGTAAACTGGGCACAGTGGTGCACGCCTATAATCCCAGCAGCTTGGGAGGCTGAGTCAGGAGGAGGATTGCAAATTCAAAGCCAGCCTCAGCAATTTAGCAAGGCCCTAAGCATCTCAGTGAGACCCTGTCTCTAAATAAAATACAAAAAAAGGACTGGGGATATGGCTCAGTGGTTAAGTGCCCCTGGATTCAATCCCTGGTACAAAAAAAGAAAAAGAATAGTAATTATTAATCCATAAATATCAACCCAATGGCTCTTTTATAAAAAGATTAAAGAAAAAAATTATTTCCTAATTTATTGTATTTTAGGGTTTCCTAAGGATTAGCCATTATTTCATTCTTGTGGATAGAATAAACTATTCTTTTAACAACTGTAATGTGTATATTTGCTGGGAATTACATCTTTTCAGGCCTCCAAATCACAAAACATGGTACAAAGCCAGGTGATGTGGTACACACATATAATCCCAGTGGCTTGGAAGGTTGATGCAGGAAGATCACAAGTTCAAAGCCAGCCTCAGCAATTTAACGAGGCCCTAAGCAATTCAGTGAGACCCTGGGATGAATGCCCATATGGAAAGTTTTGCCATTAGCCTTTTCCCACTGCACCCATTCAGTATTTATCACATATTTCTTCCTGTAAACTTGGACTACTTTGCCAATCTGCTAACTTTTATAGCATCCCTGCACAACCTAAACTTCGTCTCCTTTCAGATGGACGTAGATCAAACATTGTACTTTTGTCTCAGGTCTTTGGAAAGAGGGGAGGACGTAATCTTCCTGTGAATGTGGGAAGGTGCATTGAAATGCCTTTTATGGTTCTTGATTCTGTCAGAAGTCACAATAGGATTGAACTTCATTTTGGCTGCTGCCACTTAATCGATGGCTGCAAAAGGGAAGAGATATCTTTATTCTTAAGGGTAAAAGATTAGTAATTAGTTTTGCAAAAAAGTTTAATATACCATATATGTCATTGATGAAGTATTACATTGCCTTTTTGGAAACTTGTTTTTCATAGAAAGGCTTGAAAATATATTCATAAAAAGTTTGGTTATCAATGAATAGGTAAATCCTATAGTAGACTATTTCACAAGTTTTATAGTGTATTATTACATAAGCCCAGACGACTTGGGTTTCAGATTTTTACCTCTGTGATAAATCCTCCAAAGTCTTTTTCTTCATCTGCAATGTGAAGATATTATCTTTGTTATAGGTTGTTGTGAGTCTCAAATGAATTAGTATGTATAAAACTTGGAACAATGCCTTAATTGTATTATTTTGCTGGGGTTACCCTAACAAAATACCACAGTCTGTGGCTCAAACAGTGAAAATTAATTTTTTCATGGTTCCGGAGGCTGGAAGTCCAAAATTAAGGTGCCAACAGGTTTGGTTTCTCCTGAAATCACTTGGCTTGGTTTGCAGATAGTCACCTTCTGGCTATTCTTACATGGCCCCTTCTCTGGGCACAAACACCCCAGTTGTGACTTCCTCATCATATAGGGACAAGCCCCACTCTTATGACCTCATTTAACCTTAATTGCCTCTTTAAAAGATCTTTTTTCCAAATGTAATCCCATTCTGAGTATTGGGGGTTAGGCTTCAACATAAAAATTTTGGAGGGACGGAGTTTATAACACTTAGTAAACTTTACTAGCAGTTGTCATCATCAATAACAGCATCATTATCTCTGGAAACATTGCCAGGTGCAGTGGTGAGTATCAAAATAAATACAAGGAATTTAAGGACAAGATAATAAGGTGTGCATGTAAAGTATTAACACAGAAGAATATAAGTGGTATAAGGGAGTTATAGGGGAGTTAACAGAGAATACTGTGTTTTGAGTGTTAGAGGAATGAATCTAAATAATATAATTTAAAGAAGAAAGAATTTGAACCTGCAGAAATGTAGGAGAAAAGCAGTCTAGGAACAGTGCATAGTTTCCTCAAAAATAGAAACTGCTAGCAAGTTACATTCAGTAAATGGTGAGTAAGGAAATAGTGGGGGGAAAATCCTTATCTGGCTATTATCAGTTAATAAAGGACCTTCAGTGATAGAGGAAGGGATCTACACTTTGTTTTGGTGATAGTTGTTGTTTTTCTTCCATATTAGGGATTAAACCCAGGGAAACTTAACCACTGAGCAACATACCCAGCCCCTTTTATTTTTTATTTTGAAATATGATCTTGCCAAGGTGCTTAGGGCTCATTAAATTGCTGAGATTGGCTTTTTAAAAAAATATTTATTCTTAAGTTTTATGTGGACACAGTATCTTTATTTTACATTTATGTGGCGCTGAGGATTGAACCCAGTGCCTCGTGCATACTAGGTGAGCACTCTACCACTGAGGCACAACCCCAGTCCCCTGAGGTTGGCTTTGAACTTGCAATCCTCCTGCCTTAGCCTTCTGCCTCAGATTACAGGTGTGTGTAATCCCAATGCCATCACACCTGACATTTGTTGTATCTTTAAAAGCTTTATTTATTTTTAAACTTAAATGTGATGCCAGAATTGTGCATTGGGAAAATTGTATAGAATTAGTTAAGATGAATTGGAGGAGGAGGTGGGTAGAATGAGACAGACAAAATTTAAAGTTGTTCGCATTATAACATGGATGAACCTTGAAGATATGATAAGTGACAAATATCAATCACAAAAAGACGAATACTCTGATCCTACTTATATTAGGCTCTTGGAATATTAAAAATAATAAAGATTAAAAGTAGAATGGTAGTTTCTACTGTCCAGAGAGAGTGGAGAATAAGGAATTATTGTTAATGGGCACAGTGTTTCAGTTTTACAAAATGAAGAATTCTGGAGATGCATGGTGGTATGGTTATATAACAGTATGAATATATTTAATGCCACTGAAGTAGATACTTCTGAAAAGAATTAAATTGATATTGGATATTCTAAATGTAAATGTATTAGTAAAACATCCTCTTAAAATGTAAGAACAGTGGAAGAAATTTAGAATTTGACACATTTTAAGAAAAAGACTTGTATAGTGGCTTGTGCTGTATAGAGAAAGCTGTGAATCAAAGAAAGTCATATCTTTGGAAGTGTTATCAGACACTAGAGATAGAGGTAATTGCAAGGAATTAAGAATTTAGTTGGTTTTGAGAAGGAAAATCTTACTGTATTGTATATGAAACAAATTAACCTTAGTGAAGAGTGGATGCTTATCTAAGTTACTGTGGAAATGAATAGATTCTATAAGACTGAATGCAGTAGGATCTGCACATACACATTGTATTTTAGCTGATAAAATTGTAACTCAGACATAGAAGTTACCCGTTCTGATAGTGCTATGCATGCATACTAGAATTGAAAATGTATGACATGTTGAGAGCCAGATTTCTCACTATCCGAGTGAGAATTTGCAGATGAGTAAGAGGAGAAGACCAGAATGGTCCATGTGGTAAAGATCAGAAATGGAAACATGAGTATGAAATAATGTTTACCTTGATATAGACACAGATAGTTACATGTATAAATATTTATAGATAAATGTATATACACGGATTAATAGGTGTATTTCTTGGCTCTCTCAGTTGAGATGGTCTACATGCAATGAAATCCCAGTAGCAGTAAGCTCAGTTAATACCCACATCTTGATTTCTAATAACCATTTTCCAGTAAAAGGTACCAGGGCTCTAGGAGAAATGGCGGGTTCTAGGATTGCAGCAGGATGTACAAGATGGACCTGAAATGTCTCAAGTGTCAGGAAGTAAGGAAGTATTCAAAACCAAAACCTGCATTGGTGGGACTTTGTCAAAAGGACAAAGGAACCCAACTGAAGGAATTCCCAGGAGCCAAAGCTAGAATTTTGAGCAACAACAGAAGTAATGGATTATAACTCTATAAAATGAGTTTATACTGATATAAATAGAAGTCTGAATAAATCAAATAGAGGGAAGAGACAAATATTCCCTTCAGAAAAATTAAAATAATTTATGTAGCCACTTCTTTCTCAAGTAAGGGAAACATAATGTATTATGGAAATTGAGAAAAGAAGTAACTTTATAGTGCAGAAATCTGACAGAATACCAGCCACATGCTCAAGATGGTAGCAACAGTAATAAAGTACACTAATGGTATGGACCATTGATGTGTTGTGATGAAAACAGTACTTCTGTGGTCTTCTTTCAGAAATCCATAACCTGTGCTGGGGTTGTGGCTCAGCAGTAGAGCGCTCGCCTAGCATGTGCGAGGCCCTGGGTTCGATCCTCAGCACCGCATAAAAATAAATAAATAAAGGTATTGTGTCCAACTACAACTAAAAAAATATTTTTTTTTCAAAAGAAATCCATAACCTCATTATGAGGAAAACATTAGACACATTCAAATAGAGGGTGATCTAAATATTTCACTAGTACTCCTAAAAACCATCAAAGTCATCAAAACAAGGAAAGTTTGGAAAAGTCTTGTAATTAAACTGAGTCTAACGAGACATGATGACTAAAATTAATGGACATATTTTGGATGAGTTCCTGGAACAGAAAAAGACATTAAGTGAAAACTAAGATCTGAATAAGCTATGGAATTTAATTAATACTAATGTGTTGGTGTTGAGTCATTAATTATAAAATAAGTGAACTATACTAATGTAAGGTGTTAATATTAGGGTCAACTGGTCCACAGGGCATCATAGTCTGCTCAGCTGTTATAAGAAGATTCCATAGACTGCATGGCTTTAATAACACATTTCTCAAAATTCTCAAGTCTTAGTAGTTCAAGATCATAGTGCTAACCTTGATCAATTCTTTGAATGGTCTTGATTCCATGTTATAGATACCTTTTTTTTTTTCATAAGAACACCAATCCTATTATGCTGCCTACATATAAACTTAATTACTTCCCAAAGGCCTTACTTTGAAATATCATCACACTGGGAATTAAGGCTTCAACATACGAATTTGCAGGGGTAGGGGTCACAAAAACATTCAGTCCATAACAGGGAACTCTGTACCATGTAATCACTATTTCTTTTTCTGTATACGTAAAACCTTTCTTTAAAAAAAAAAAAGTCTAGTGAAGAAAAAAAAAAGGTAGAGGAATTTAATTAGGTAGAGTTTGTTTTCTTTTTAGGGAAACTTGAGCATGTTATCAAGTGATGAGACAGATTTACTGAAAGAGAAAAGGTTAAAGATGGGAGTAAAATAGTAGGAATGATCAATTGAATGAACAATGAACAAATCAATGAATAAAACATGTACAAATTATAGGGATAATAAAATAGAGGAAGGATTCATTTTTCTATTCATTGGAAGAATAGGATTAGAAGCTAGAAAATCAGGCCAGGCAGAGGGGTGCCTACCTATAATCCCAGCAACTTGAGAGGCTGAGGCAGGAGGATCACAATTTGAGGCCTGCCTCAGCAATATAGTGAAATCCTGTCTCAAAATAAAATTCCCCAGTCCTGGGAAAAGGACTGGGGATGCTCAGTGGTAGAGTGTCCTTGGGTTCAATTCCTAGTACTTGCAAAAAGGGGTAGAGGGAAGGTGTTATAAAACTCAGAAACATTATTCATTTTTAGAATTAATTAAAGGAAAGGGGAAGATATAATTTTCCTAATATCAATTTTAAATGGTTCTAGGTTTTATGCTTTAGTAGATATTACATATCTAAATTAACTGTAGGATACTTAATTTACAAAACAAATCTTTCTGTAAATATAGTACATAAAATAAGTATTTCCTTTTAATTTCAATGAGGCCATCTTTTTGGAAATATCGTACATAAAATAAGTAGATTTCCTTTTAATCTCAGTGAAGTCACTTGTACAAAACATTCTAGAACCTATCAATAGATTCTTTTTTTAATATATATATTTTTTTCATTGTAGGTGGACACAGTACCCTTATTTTATTTATTTGTATGTGGTTGGTGCTAATGGTAAAATCCAGGGCCTCACACATGCTAGGCAAGCGTTCTACTGCTGAGCCTCAACCCCAGCTCTATCAATAGATTCTTGATGGAATTATATGTTGTTATAATGACTTGAATACAATTTTTCACAAATAGTACATAAATGTGTACAGCTCACACCATTTTGAGGAGATAGGGGATCAGTGGTTAACAATGTTTTTTCATGTGCATTTTTTAGTGACTTTTTAGTAACAATTTTTAGCAATAACTCTAGGTGTGTCATATGAAAAAGTCCTAGAGACTTTTGTATATGTATGTAATGTTTTTATTAAAATACATCTTTGATAAATCCTTAGTTATTTTGAAAAGTTCAAAAGGTACAGATGAGTAAAAAGAAAAATCCTTAAGTCTCAGAGATGAACATTGCTGATAGGTTTTTGGTGAAATATATTTACAACTTTCTATCCCCTTTCCCTTCCCTTTTCCTTTTCTTTTTCTCCTCCCTCCCTCCCTCCCTTCCTTTTCTCTCTCTCTCCCTTTCTTCATATATGTAACCCCTGTGTTCCCTCTAAGCCAAATCACTGGAGAACACAACAGTTCCATTCTGGAACTAGCAAGACTTTAGAAATGACAAAAGCCAGTGATTGTTTTTCTCAATCTTTTATTTTTTTAAACAGAACCATTTCTTGGTATGTTAATATAAAATTGAAGCTCTCTGATTGTAGTATTGGAAGTATAAATGAGGGCTTAGGGCTTCCCAAAGATACTCAGTCTTTCCCCTCCCTTGATGACAAAAATCTAGGTCCTTAAGCATTGCCTAGAGTGCTTACTGATAATGATTTAGTCCTACTCTCTTAAGATTCTGTACTCTTTTAGCACAATTAAAAGAATGTTGGTTTAATTAGCTTTGACATTTTCTCCATTTAAACTGTTTTTCTCTTTGTTTGTATTCTGCAGTAAAAACTAGATTTTCATATGCCTTTCCAAAGGAATTTCCTTATAGGATGAACCATGTAAGTATATTATGCAAAGTAATCACTTGTTAAAACTGTATATAAACAAACTGAACTTACTAGCCTTTTAGAAATATCAGTTTCAAATATAATATTCCACAAGAATATAGACATTATTTTAAATTAAAGATCAGTAGTTGATCTTTTTAAAAACATTTCATAGAAGTGGTTATCAACCATTTCTGCCCATTGGATTACCTTGGGAACCTTTTAATACTGATGTTGGGTCCTCTCCAGACTGACTAAATCAGAATTTTCAGGCTTAGAGTTCCTGGCATTAGTATTTTTTTAAAAACTTCCAGGTGAGTGATACTAATGTCGCATCTGGGGTTGATAACTGCTATAATGGATCAGTATTAAATTATATTTGATAAGTTATATTTTTAAAAGATTAATATTTGTCATTTTAATAAGCATGTCTGCCATTTTCCACCTTGCAAGGGAATTGTTCATTCTACTTGGTATTTTTTTTAATTAAATAGAGATAATCTCATTTTGCATTTGTTGAGTAGAAAGGATATTTTAATAGAAGTGAGCTAGGGATACAGCTCAATGATAGAATGTTTGCTTATTAGCGTATGTGAGACCCTGGGTTCAATCTATAGCACCGAAAACAAACAAACAAAATGCTTGCAAGAGGCTGGCTTTTCCTTATAAGGATTTAAATGCTTTATAATTATAGTTGCATGAATTATGCAATAGTAAAAAGTAATTTTATTATATATATTCTAATATAAGCTGTGTTTATTTTCTGTTTTGTAAAAATGTGTGACAAATTACTATAAACTAAGTAGACTTATGTAATTAGGTTTCTTGTTGACTTTTTTTAAAACAGATATTAGAATGTGAATTCTATCTTTTAGAACTAATGGTAAGTAGTTTTTTCCTTTGGTTAATAGAGGAACAGTTATTTTCAAGTTTAATGAAGTCAAATTACTTACAGAAATTATTTATAGGCAGGTACATTTTAAAGTCATCTAAGTGATTTGTGATTTTGAAATCATAGTAACATTACCTATTTTCTCTCTGAAGCCTGTAAAATAATTTGTATATCCTAGTCTGGATGGAAAAGTTATTCTATAGTAACTATAACAAAAGGATTACAAGCAAACAAGTCAGGACATTAAACCACTGTAAATTATGTGCACAACTTGTGTATGTGTGTGGTATAATTTAAAAGATAGATTATGTCTTCGGCAGAATTCTCCTCCATTTGGGAATCATGGATTTATAGGCTAATAAGAGGTTTCAGTGTGTTGCAGATGTGACACTTTGAGTCTCTAAGGGAATGAATGGATGCTGACTGACTGCCAACCGATATACCAAGGTATATTCCAGAGAGAGCAATGCCTTCATATTGTAGTAGAGTTTAGGGCTGCTATACTGCTTGCTAAGAGAACAAAAGAGAAGCAAGCATGAGTTACAGAAATTCACTTTGAAATACACTATTAAAAATTAGTTGGGTAATGATAAAGTTTTTGTGTTGTAATAAATCTGTTTTTATACATACACATTTTTTAAACTGTTTCTAGGATTGTTGCTTGATAGTGTATCATCCTTATAGACCTTTGCTCCAGTATGTGCAGGACATGGGCCAAGAAGACATGTTGCTTCCCCTTGCATGGTAATTAGAACAGAAGTTATTAATAGTGTAACATGTTATTAGATAGGAAGATTGCCAACTAAATATGAAATTTGATATTTTTGAAGACATTAAACTAGTGCCCCAAGGTATTTTATGTTAAGCAAAATATCTGCTTGTTGAACTTTAATAACTCTGGTGGTGATTAAAATGATGAGTGCTAAAATGATAAGCATCTTAAATTTTAACTGTTTATTAACTAGTTATAATTTGATTTTATGTTTTTAACATAAAATTTAAAAATGAATTTATCTTTAAAATAATCAGTATACTTTTTGGTAGTGTTCATTTTATTTCTGATTTTTTAAAAATTAGAAGAACATGTTTATAATTTTTTGGAGGGCTCAAAGTTCAAAATATGTTTTATTCACTTATTAAATGTACTAATACATACTTAATTGTCACACTCTTGAGTCAATCTTTTTGCTTAAATGTTTTATCTTACTAGCTGTGTTCAGTAATAGAAAAGGGAAATATGTGTGTACAAAGATGGGAAATCTGTCCCTCTCTGGGTGGAAATGTACAATCAGATGAAATAATTCTACTTTCAGTAATAATATGATTTACATTTCTATAGGAGGATAGTGAATGATACCTACAGAACGGATCTTTGCCTACTGTATCCTCCTTTCATGATAGCTTTAGGTATGTAAGCATGGTGTGCCCTTATTAATTAAATTGTTATAAATCTATTTAAATAGTCATCCTAAAATAAATTTCACCCTATTATACTTTATGTTTTTAAGTTTCCATGAAGTAATAGACTAATCTTTGCATGTGAACTTTCAATAATATGAACTGTAACTGTCACAAATCAGGGTTATAGTCCTCCCGCCCCCACCCCTTTTTTTGGTAAGTTTTTATCAAATCATTTAAAACAATTTTAATCAGTGTCTAAATAGAATACTTTTGTTTGGTGGGAAAAGTTCAGAATTAAGCCTGCTAATATTAGTTGTAAGTCTTATAAAATAACTATACCAGATTTTCATTTCCTGAGCCCAGTTAAGTACCCAGAGTTAAACAAAGGAGCATCTAGCTGTCTTGGTAGATGGAGAAGTTACTGCACTCTCTTCCATTATCCATGGAAGAGAGTGCAGTAATGGATTAGAACACAGTCTTTTGAGTTAGATAGTCCTGGGTTTAAACTTTGCTTCCTTTATAATTGAGGGGAAATTGTTTTAACTTTCTGAGTTTGTTTCCTTAATTATAAAAAGGAGAGTAAAAACTTCAGGGTGCTAAAAACTTCAGAGTCATTTAAGAGTTAAATGTGATAGCTTATAGAGCACCAAATAATGCCTGCTATATCCTAGGTACTTGTTCCTTTTTGTCCTCCTGTTGATTTCTATGACTATCCTCTTAACCCCTCCCCCTCATACACACCATTCTTTTATCATTCCGGAATTATTTTTACTGTTTTCTCTTTTTTTCAAGTATTCCTTAAATATTGATATTAAAAGTCACCTTTTATCAGGGATGACAGGTTATATTTATTCTTCTGTATCACTGATGACTCTTATACAGTACTGAACTGGGGGGGGGGGGATTCTGAAGTTGTATCCAGTCAGTGGGAAGAAGTGCTGGGATATATAGATTAGGAAGGAAGGGATAACAGGACACATGCCATGTCTTTGCCAAACCTGTGATCTTTGTACTTGCTGGCTGAGGCCCAGGGCTTCTGTAGTCTTTTATATGCTGAAACATTTCAATTTCTTTATTTGAGATCTTGCTCCTGAGCAGTTCTTTATATCCATCAACCATATACATAACTCCACTTGACATCTAACTGGCACTTCAGACTCATGATCAGGAGCTCATTGCCTTGTTCTCAGATATCCTCTTCCATTTAATGTTTTTGCTAGCTTGGTAAATAGCAATAGGTATTTGCCTTTGTTGGAAACCCAGCAGTTAGGTTCTTTCATTTCCCTCAGTAGCTACATCCAGCAGGTTATCAGTACCTTTCATGCCTTCCTTTCAATTATCTGTCCCTTATGTAATATTATAACCATTTTCTCATTTTCAACTAGTTTACCACAGCAGTTTCCTAACTGATTGGTCTCCAGCATTCTTGTGCTCAGAGATCAGAGAGCCAATCTATTCTCCATTCTGTTGAACTACACTGATGGTTCTCAATGGGGAATAATTTTGCCTCCCAGAGGATTCGTCAATGTCTGGAGATTGTTTTATTGTCATACCAAGGTGGGATACTACTGTCATCTAGTGAGCAGAATCCAGAGGTGGTGCTTAGCGTCCTAGAGTGCACAAGGCAGTTTCAAAGAATAATCCAACCCAAACAACAGTAGTTCCAAGGTTGAGAAACCCTGAGCTAGAATAAGCTTATTAAAATGTAGAATCTCTCCCAGTTGCTGAATTAAATCTGTAGCCTCTCTATCACTTATGGATAAGCCATTCTCTCCCTTTACTCTGAGATTGGCTCAGATATCACCTTTGTAGTGACACCGCACCTCCCCATTCTCTCAATATTGCCTCAGTCTGGGTGTATGGTGCCTTCTCTATCTCTGATTTACATGCTCCCCTTTCATGGCATTTCCCACTCTTTTAAGTAACTGTTTTTATTATTATTTTAGTCCTTTGATTTCTCAATTCCTTTTGAATTTAAGCCCTACTCTAGCATCATTTGTCTTGGAACAACTAATATATCAGTTCACATTTGAATGGCTGTTTTTTGTTCTTTTTGTGGTATTGGGTATGGAATCCAATGCTCACAAATGGTCTGTATGCACTCTTACCACTGAGCTACTTGACCATCTGCTTGAATGGCTGTTTACCCAGAATGTTATTCTTAGCAAAGTCAAACGGTAACCTAAACAGGGAATATAACTTTTAACAAGCTGGGGTGGGATCAGGATAGACAGTCTGTGCAGTAGAAATTGTTTCAGTCAAAACTATGACATAGGTCATTGTCTTTGAGTTCTTTTACTATCTTTGTTAGTTTTAATTTTATGTAATGTATATAATTGTATATGATGTGTCCCATTTTTTTATAATCCCTATTTGATTACAACAGTGAATTCTGCACCAGTGTGCTCAGTTGTTAAATAACATCTATCATGTGATAAGACTTTAAAAAGCCAAAATAAAAAAATAGTAGAGGCAATGTTGCTTTTAATTTAAATATAATCAACATTGTTGAAACATCAGTATATTGATTATTTTTGTCAAACTGACCTTTGTGACTATTTTGTACTGCTGTTCAGATTCCTGTTTTAATCTCATTAGATGATTTTTCCTCTCTAATGTGCCCTTTCAGAGCATCTGCACCAAGTAGTAAACCGAAAGGAGCAGATGTCAAGAACCTTAGTGTAGTCTAGTAAATTTTTCTGTCTATATCAAATTAAATTGATGAGATAGTTAGTAGTATTAAATATAGCTTTGTGAGGTTTAAAAACAGTTTTAGAAAATATACGTATGTGAAATTTGTGAAAATCTTTAGTTATGTGACCATGTTTGTAGTTAAGCATGAGCAATTGTCTTTTCATTTCAGCTTGCCTACATGTTGCCTGTGTTGTACAGCAAAAAGATGCCAGACAGTGGTTTGCTGAGCTTTCTGTGGATATGGAAAAGGTATTTACAATTTTTTGAATTTCAACATTTTAAAATTCATGTCTTATTTTTACTTTCCTTCAGCTTAAAACCTTATGATGCTCACCAGGGTAAGAAGATTGTTGATTAAATATTAAGAAATACATGCTTGATGAAAGGTTGATATTAGTTTTTTTTAAGTTATATTTATCTTTCTGGCTTTAGGTTAAATAGAATGGTAAACTTTTGGCGCGATTTGTTGCAAAGTAGCCTCTAACTTCCAGGATTATCTAAAAAGCTACCTAGTGATCACTAAACACTACCAGGAACTTCTGTAAAACAGCACATTGGTGGCAAAGCCCTATTTTCTACCTTTTCTGCTCAAGTGTTGAAAGCATTACAATTAATCCAACTTTAACTCTGTGTGGGTAGAGAAAAAAGAGCTAAACTTGGCAACTAGATATGACATAATACAGTTGCAGTTTTAGGTCATCTTAACTGATATGTAGAGTAGTTAACAAAACAATGTCTTATGTGTAATACCTCCCCTTAAATTGTTTGAGAAAATTGATATTAAAGGAATACTCAATAGTGGTATATTCCTTCATGATTTCAACCTTTACTGTTTGTACCTTGCTAGTTTGTTTTGGTTTAAGAGGACAGAAATCAACTAGATATGAGGATGGATAGGGCATACATGTTGAAAGGAAAGCGGCTATAAAGCCTAAATAACAGTGTAGTGAAAAATACTGTTATCAAATTTGTTAGGATTATCTACCCTGAATTCTCAAGGACACAGACTCATCTTTTTACCATTTTTGAAGGGTGCCTCATATGTGATGTCTGTTCTTTATAGGTACTAAATATTGCTTTTTTTTTTTTTTGCCACTGAGAACTTTTCAAATATTTTCTTGTAGATTTTGGAAATAATCAGGGTTATTTTAAAACTATATGAACAGTGGAAGAATTTTGATGAGAGAAAAGAGATGGCAACTATTCTTAGTAAGATGCCAAAACCAAAACCACCTCCAAACAGGTACTTTGTAAACTTTTAATTATTGACTTAATTTTATATATATATATATATATATATATATATATATATATAGTACTCATTTATCTTTTTCTTTCTTAGGTTTTTGTTTTGTATCTTTTTCTTAAAACTTCTATCAAAATTTCTTGATTCATCCTATTTTTTTTAATTTGTAATTTGAGACTCTCATTTTAAAAATACATTAATCTGATCTACTTAATAACTTTTCCAAATGCAGTGGAGGTCTGTTACAGGTATCCCTCAACATATAGCCACATACTGTACATAAATTTAAACAGAACAGTATTAGACAAAGTCATCTGAAATTCAGTGATAAGGAATTCTGCAGTCAGTTTGACTAAGTAACATTCCTCTTCTCCACTTACTGGCTATTATTCTATTTTATGAATTTCAGTAGCAGTTTTTTAAAATTTTGATAAATGATCTGATATGATAAAGATAAGAATTTTGGTTTTTGAGTGATCCTATGAACCACAGCACACAACATACCTTTTCTAAATATTAATCACCTGTGCTAAAGAGTTTTTTTTTTTTTTTTTTTTTTTTTTTTTTTTTTTTTTTTTAGATAGGATCTGTTTGTTTAGTTCTTTGATTCAGCCCTCACAATATATCAGGCCAGATTATTTGAGGTAGGAAGAAAGGTGAGGAGGAAAATAAATGCTACCCATCTTAATAATTTATTTAGAAAGATAATTTGTATAACAGTAAGATAGATTTATAGATTGCTACTGATGAAATGTTACAGTCTGGAAAAAAAAAATGATACTTATAACAAGGAGCTGTTCAAGGCAGTCATTCAAACAGCTACCTTTGGATGCATTTTTTGCAGAAATTCCCTGAGTGATTCTCCACTAGTGGCAGGGCCTGAAGCTGCAAGATGATGGTGGACAAGATAAGGCAGTAATCCTATTGCCACAGTTACTGGTATTTTCAGCTTTAGTTCTTTTTAAATATTTAGCATTTTCCAGGAAATTACTGAATTTTTTCTGACTTACAAGGTTTGTTGTAATTACATCTGATTTTATTATGCCATTGAACAGCAGATTTTTAGAAAAAAATTTTTTTTTATTTTCCTAAATAGTAGAAATAGGATTTTATATGTAAGATTTAATTTTGTAGGACTTTTGTTCAGAAGTTGTGATCTCTATGTTGAGTGATACCTGTAATAACAATGATATCCCATACCCTAATTTAAATTTTTTGAGTGTATATGAACACTAACTTCCATACTGCTTGTAATGTGTGAGAGTACAAAGTGCATAAGAATAAAAACATAAAACCAAATGTTAGTCTTCTGGATTTTAATTTTTCCACATCTGTGTCTTAATCAGAAATGTCTTTGTACAGTTATGCTGCAGATTCAGAAATTAATAGGCTTATCAGGGTGTTGAAAATGAATCTTTTAATTAGTATAAAATCTCTTTCTTCCCCATTTGAACAGTGAAGGAGAGCAGGGTCCAAATGGAAGTCAGAACTCTAGCTACAGTCAATCTTAAAACATTCCGAAGAATTCCGTAGTGGACCACTTGGAAATAAACCATTGGACAGATTTCAGTAATGTCTTCAGTGGAATACAAATGAAAATGAATAGCTTGTTTCTGTCAAGCATATTGGGAATTGATTTTATTTTTGCAAAATAAGTTTTTTCTTTACCTAATTTGATTCTAGTACATAATTGATAAAAATCTCTTAATTATAAAAGTTTGGAAAGGTTCTATGGGGACCTACAGACAGACATACATAGACATTTCATGATTAATAGCTTTTGATTAGTGTATTGCTTAATTTGGATGAAAGACATTGTAGCTTTTTACTAAGCCAGAAAACATGAAACATAATTTGTTTAAAATTCTGTGGTCATTGAGGGACCAAAAAAAGGACACAAAGTCAATATATGAGGGTCCCCCCCCCTCTGGAAGTTAAACTTTAAAACTGTATTTAAGGAATAAAATCTTACAAAATCCTGGAAGATTTTGATAATGATGTTGATAATTTCAGGGAAATTAATCAAGTACCTATTGATTTTAAAATGTATTTTATTCAGTAGTTTGGGTGTCTTGCCATGGAAGATACTAGCCCGGCCTATCAGGAAAGTGCAATATGTATAGGATACTTTGACATTTTAAAAGCTATATTAATTCCGTAACCATTTTGAAATGCTGGGCAAACTTTTTTTAAAAAGTGAATCATACATGAAGTTATTTGCAATTAATTCAATTAATGAGACATTTTGAAAGTTTAGTTGGATAAAATACCATAATGAGGTTGAAATTTTGATAAATTTTTAATGTTGATTTTTAATCTGCTGTGAAAAAAATTTTTTTATAAGATACGTGCCCTAGTTTAATTTTGTGTCTTCATGTGGATTTACAGATTTACTGCAGGTATCCTGAGCCAGGAATACAATCAGGTTTCAGGCCAGTTTGAAACTGGCTATTCTTAATTTTCATGAGTGTAGGACCATCAGATTCAATGTTATGTCAGTGGACTGTGCTGTCTGTGGAACTTAATAAATTAATCATTTTCTTCAGACCTGAAGGAGAGTGATAAAACTTGGAGTCATAGGATATTAATGTACAATTTAAGGATTAACAAATTTTCTATAAATAAATTGTGAACAATGGATTATTAAATGTTGACTTCCTTCCTAGTATAAGACTGCAAGAATAAAAGTAAATTCTTCAGCTATATTGACCAGTGTCTTGAATTCATCTTTTTGAATTTACCTTTTGTTTTCTGAAAATCCTTCTTTGATAAGTATTAAAGTCTTCTATATTTTATCAAGGGGATGATTTCAAATGGTTTATAAACAGACTTTAAGTCCTATTTTCTTAGGGAGAGTATTAGATGAGACAGAAAGGGAGACAATGTATAAAATCAGTACCAATGATCAGCATGGATCTCCTAAGCTTATGGTAGGGTAAAAAATAAGAAAACAAACTCTCCTCAGGTCTGAAGGAATTAATGTTGGGTTTGGGATGGCTGGGCAGAGTGATTATTTATCACAATAATTAACTGTAAAGTTTTCCTTTAAACTTAACCTATCTTAAAAAGTTTACTTTTAAAATTAATACATATGCCTCAGTTTTGTTTGCAGCCTCTTATTGTGGAAAATTTAAAACAATATACAAGAACAGATAGAGCAGTATAGTGAATGTCCATGTACCTGTCACACAGCTTCAGCAATTATTAATTCATAGCCAATTTCATTTTGTCTAAACTTCAAGCTGTCTTCAGTTTGCATATTATTTTGAAGCAAATCCCAGATATTGTATCATTTCATTTCATCTATAAATATTTTAGGACCTACTCCTAAGAGATAATGGTTCTTTTAAAAAACTGTACAGTATCATGCTGTATAGAATTAGTAAAAATGGTTATCAAATACTCAGTTCAAATTTTCAGTTATCTCATAAATATCACAAAAATATTAATTGATTATAGTCAGGATTTAAATAAGGACTACACATTGCAATTCATTGATAAATTCTTTAAGTTGTTTTAAATTTATAGGTTCTTCATCTCACTTTAAAAATTCCCCGTTTTTGTTTTGTCTACTAAAAGTTTCTCATGACATGAATTTTGTTGATTAAATCCTTTACATGCCATTTAACATGTTTTCTCCTATGTATTTTATATAAATTGGTAATTGAATCTAAAGACTGGATTACATTCAGGTTCTTTTTTGGGGTATAGACTACTGTATAAGATGGTAGTCTTCCATCAGGAGGCATGTAATGGCTGTTTGTTTCTTCCTGTAATTTACCAACCACTGAAGATATGTATGGTTTAAAAAAAATCAGTTATTATTATAGGATACACTGTCCAGTATGATAGCCACTAGTGCCTATGGCTATTGAACATTTGAAATGTGGCTAATCTGAATCAAGATGTGCTGTAAATGTAAAAAATACATGTTATATTTCAAGTATTTAGTACAAAACAGAAGAATGTAAAATTTCAGTAATTTGTTTTATAAAGATTACATTTTAAATGATAATATTTTGGATACATAGGATTAAATAAAACATTTTAAAAATTAATTTCAATGTTTCTTTAATTTTTTAATATAAAAAATTTTAAATTACATATTCATAAAATCACATAATGATTTGGACAGTTGCATTGGACAGTTTCTTTACCATATAAGGAAAATGTTAATTTCCTGTCCCATTTCACCCACATTTCATTCCTACTCTCCACACTTTAACTTCTCTGCTATTTATTTTCATATTTCTAAGTGACAGGCATTTGATATTGCATTGTTGTAGTTACTGTGTGCCAAGTATATTGTATTCCCTCTGTTTATTAAGTCAATTCTCAGAGCAGTTTTACTTTAGAAATGAGGAGATTCAGAAACAGGAGGGTTAAAGATGTAAATGCCGGAGCTTAGGTTCTTGTTTTTAAAACCTGGGTATCTGAGCTTCAGATACTTTATGGCCTCCTCTGCTTAGCCTTCTCTTTTTTTTTTTAATTCAGTTTTTTTTCAATTGTAAATATTATCTATTAACTTCCTGCTACAGAAGATGAAGATTTTGCTTTCTCATCCATCTCCCTTTGTTCTTCCCCTTTTCCAACCTGTTCCTGTACTGGGACTTCTCCTATCATGTAATTATACAATTTTTGGTAAATTCGTATTTAATATATATTAGGCATACTTAGATAATGTCATTTATATTACTCTGATTAAATTTCTTTTAAAATATTTTGTCTTTCTAGAACTAGTGACTGATTAACTCGGTTATAATATGTTTGCTTTACTTTATCTTTCTGTTAATTTATCCCAGAACCATTTGTTACTATTCTTTTATTCCCCAAAATCACTCATGTGGAAATATTTTTCCTGAGCCCTTCATTCTCCAGTCTGGACTGATTACATTGTAGGCGAAAGTAGCACCATTATAATCATAGAACTGATCTATTGGGACTTCCCTTTTTTTTTTCTCTTGTATGGTTAGATATCTAAGTCTTTTATGTAGCACCTTGTTCTTGTTTGAGAGTTCAATGTGTTTTTGTTATTATAAGGATATTTAGGGTTTTTGGTTCTTTTGAAATTTTCTTTGATCCCTGTATTAACACCATTTCCCTGAAGTTCCTTTTTTCTATATGATTTGTTCATAATCTTTCATGTTAGAATGCCTTATTTGTCTGAGAATCCTTTATATTAGAGGGGAACAGAGGAAGATGATTGGAAGGTCTCTGTACACAGGTAGGACTTTTCAGTGGTGGGCTTCATTGTAACGTAAAGGATCAACAAAACATTTTCATGGGCCATCTTCTCACCCCACCATCATTTTCTGGTTTTTCTTTGACGGATCAGTTTTTCCAGGTAGGAATCTTCTAGCTTTCTATCTCAGGTGGAGGAAGCTGAATTGTCTGAGATTTTGGAGACAAGATAACTAGCAAGGAGCTAGTTATCTCATTGTTCAATATTCAGAATTTTAGTTTACTTTCCTGTTTTCTCTAAGGGGTTACACTGCCATTCCTGTACCCAGATATTCAGCTGAAAGTTTGACCTATGTTCTCTACCCATAAATGCTAAGTGAACGCCAACAGCAACCCAAAATATCAGCTACCTATAACCAGATACCATATGGTACAGATTCTCACAGAAATAATAATGATGATTATAAAAAGAGTTTTAAATATTCAGCACCTATTATCTGATACATTTGAATCAGACTCTATTATTATAATGCCTTTAAACATTCCTCCTTTTTCCTTCCTTATGTTGCTCCTGGAGAAACCCATAGCACTGAAAAGTGGTGATGACACTATTTTGCAGTCCTTATAGATATTGAACAGTATTTTTTACCAAATGGTGAGAATAACATTCAAGTTTTTCATTTGTCTTTGATAATGTAAAATTCTTCACAAAGTAGCTGCTGATCATACCTCCATGCAGTATTCTCATGTCATATACATTCTAAATAGCAAAAAGATACATTACCACAGAATCTAAGAGACCCTGCTGAGATCATAAACAGGTAAGAAAGGCAGTGTGAATAAAAGAAACCTGAATCACTGACTCAGAATTCTGTCAATTTTTGCCACTTTTTCTAGGATTTCTCCCTTCTCTTCCATTCTAAGAGTGCTGTAGGGTACATATGGCACTTAAATATATAATCTAGCTTTTCTCTAAAACTTTCAATCTATCCTTGTATTATCAAAGTAAGAGTGATATACTCCCGTGGTTGAAATAAAACAGTTACTTGTTGAGTGGTATATTAAATCATGTTATATTTTTACATTTGAGGCCTTTGATACCACAGACCTCAATTATGGTTTTACTCATTTATCAATTTTTCTTGTGGTATTTTGGGTTGAATTCCAGGACCTCGTGCATGATAGCAAATGCTTTATCACTGAGCTACATCTTCAGCACTTTTAAAAAATTGTATTTTAAGGCAGGGTCTTGGTAAGTTGGCCTTGAACTTGAGATCCTCCTGCCTCACCTCCAAAGTAGCTGGGATTAAAGTGTTAACAATATTGTTAGTGCTTATGTGCCCCTTCCTCTGCCTTCAATGAAAATATCCTAAATTTTGGTATTTTCATAATTTACTCACATTATATATGCCTATATACTAAGTAATATTATTTTGTATGTTTTAAAATTATGTTGCACAGTGTTTATTTTTTTTTCCTCAACATTGTGAGAGTCATCCATATTAATACCTATACCTCTATTTTTTTTTCATTTTAACTAATCTTGTCATAAGCTGTGTCTGATCTGCTAAAACCATTTACCATCTGTTAGGTGTTTAATTTCAGTTATTGTATTTTTAAGTTCTAGAATTTTAACTTGATACTTTCTTGTCTCCATTCTCTGATAAATTTTTCCTTTTATCTAAGCTATTAAGTATCTTAATCGTATTTTTAAAGTCTGTCTGAAAATTCTAATATGTGATAGATCTTCTGTGAAAAGTATTATCTTTATTTTTTTTTCCTTAAATCATGAGCTCCTACTTAATTGTAGGCACCAGTTAAGTTTTGATAGAATTCTGAACATTGTTTATGAAAAATTATAGGGATAATTTGTCACTCTAACTCAGTCAACTACAAACCTCACCCATAGGCCAAATCTGGCCTGCCCACTTGTTTTTGTCTGGCCTTGAGCTAAAAATGTATTATTTTTAAATGGTTGAAAAATTATCTAAAGAATAATAATATTTAGCAACACATGAAACTTACATAAAATTCAAACCTAAGGGCCCATACAAAGTTTTTAATAGAATATAATTACACTTAAAATATTCATGTGTTATCTGTGGCTGCTTTTGTTGTGATACAATAGCAGAGTTGAGTAGTTGCTGTACAAACCTAATGACCATGAGCCTACAATATTCTAAACTATTGCCAACCCCTACTCTCACTAGAAAATATTTCTCTCCAGACAAGTTCTACTTCTGATAGGTCCTTAGGGTATCAGGAAGATCACCTTAATTCATTCAGGATTTAATGGATTCAAAGTTTATCTTAAGCTTTTGTGACGGCTGGTCAATTTCTGGCTCACCTATAGTTGGTAGTTCTAACTAAAAGGTTAGAACAGGTTCCTGTTCCTTGTTAGGTCCAGTACTTCAGTGTTGGTTCATTCTCAATAACTTTCCTTATCCCTGAGATCATAACTTCAAATCCTTGTTGCCTCCAAAATTAACGCCTTTAAACTGACCATATATATTTGTGTATGTGTGTGTGTGTGCGCGTGCACATGCATATGTGCCTTTTCCAACTTTCCTGATTCTTGTAGGGAGTTTAGTCTGTAAGAAACTAGACTGACATTGTCAAAGTTCAAGGTATCACATCTCCAGATTCTGCAAATCTTTCTGTCTCATTTAGGACAGATCAAATCCTTATAGTTAGTCCTAAAGCCTTACATGCTCTGAATGACTACATGGATGAGAGGGTCAGAAGCGGCATAAATAAGAAAGCAGGTTTATTTGCCATCAGTGCACTAGCACCTAACAAGTATAGGACTTAATATTCCAAAGATATACACCCATGGTGTTGGGAATCACTTGTATTTAGACATTTTTATATATTTTCATTATTTTTTAAGTATAATTACTAATAGAAAAACACATTTTTGTCCTTGCTTCAATGAGTTTTGTCAAACACGTATACTTATACCTATGTATACAGTACCTCAGTCGAGATACAGAACATTTCTATCACCCTTGGAAGTTCATTCCTTGCCTTTTCCAGTTAAATCTACCCTCCACAGAAGTAATCACTGTTTTGATTTTTATCCCCATATTAATCATTAATTTTTAAATGGCAAATTATAACACTACTATGAGTTGCTGGGTGTTACTGACATTTTCATTATTCATATTTTACCTGCTTATCTAGATTTGTTTTTTCTCCCCGCCTTTTATGTGGTTCTAGGGACCAAATCGAAGGCCTCTCACATTCCAGATAAGTTACCCTACCACTGAGCTATGTCTGCAGCCTTTTTTTTTTTTTTTTTTTTAATTTTATTTTAAAGTAAGGTCTAGCTAAACAGCCTATGCTGGCCTTGAATTTGGGATCTACCTGCCTCAGCACCCCCAGTAGCTGGGATTATAGACCATGTACCACCATACCCAAATTGACCCCAGATTCTTTTTTTTTGTTGTTGTTAAGGTCAAATCTGCCTCTTAATCTAGTATTTTAGTTTAAAGCTTCTCTGATGAAAAAAAGGTATACTAACATTAATAGTCACATGCAGTACAGGTACGTAATGTCTAATACAGGTAACTTGGTCTTTTAGAATAATATTGAACTATCCTGAATTAGTAAAAATTAACTTCTAGAATCCAAACTCATATTTCCATGGCAAGTCATATACATTATTCTTAATCCTCAGTAGCCCTTGAAAGTGGATGGGGGGAGTGGTATTCTCAATTTACAGATGAGAAAAAGACTGCACAAGTTGTTGATATATATAATCCCCCTTAGAATTAACCAACTGCTTCCAGAAATACATTTTTCTTTTGCTCATTGAAGTACTCCAGGTTGCGGGTACACAAGGAAACAGCCAATTTGTATTCCAAAACTCAATTTCCTTTTTTGTTTTCTGAAAATTCATAGGTTTCCCATTCCTTCCATCCTCCAGCATAGTGTTGAGCCCTGAAAACACAGCAAAGAGTGAATATTCTCTCTTGTTTTATAACAGGGTTTGATAGAAATTTCAGAAATAATGTAATGGAACTCATATTAGACTCTCCAGACTATTTAAAAAATTGTGTCACTTTTGAGTAAGATGAAAAGATAGAGGCTCTTTATCTTGCTATCCTGCACTTACTGACAGTAATTATAAGGAAAAAGAATTTGTTTGATGCTAGGGGATCAAATGCAGGGCCTATGCATGCTAGGCACTTATCTAGAACATTGATCTACTCCTCAAAGTGTCTGTTTCAATAAATGTGTATGAAACATTGCAGTATGTTGAAGGTTTTTTTTTTGTGTGTGTGTACCAGGGATTGAACTCGGGGGCACTCATCCACTGAGCCACACCCCCAGCCCTGTTTTGTTTTTTATTTAGAGGTAGGATCTCACTGAGTTGTTTAGCACCTCGCCATTGCTGAGGCTGGCTTTGAACTCATAATCCTCTTGCCTCAGCCTCCTGAGCCGCTGGGATTAGAGACATGTGCCACCACACCTGGCACAATATACATTCTTGAATCTATTTCTTCCTTCATTTTACTCACCTGTGAAAGCCCAGAGATATTGCTGTGTCCAGAGCCTTTTTGCTTCTCCTTCCGGCTAAACAAGAAAACACTAGACTGTCGGATTTGGATGGCTTTACTTCATGGTACTTCTCTTTGAAGTCTCTTGGGTTCATCTGGAGAGCTTCACTTACCTCATTCACTGGGGAAAATATGTGAAGAATTTCAATTTTTGATACAGTTATTGAGAAAATATATTTCTTAAAGACACATGTCACTTACATGGTATATTGACAGATCCTGGGATTTTTCCATATTCAAGTATTTCCCATGTCTCTCTGACATCAATTAGCATAATGTTTTTGGAATTCAACAGGTTTTTGAGTTCCTTATAAGTGACAGCCTTAGAAGTAGCAGTACAAAAATTGTGGCAGCTTTCCTTTATTGACTTCAAATCTGGAAAAAAAAAATAAAATAATTTGGGCAATTTTAAAGTAACATCATGCTAAGCGCAGTGGTGCATTCCCATAATCCCAGCGGCTAGGGAGGCTGAGGCAGGAAGATCATGAATTCAAAGCCAGCCTCAGTAAAAGTGAGGTGTGAGCAACTCAGTGAGACCCTGACTCTAAATAAAATACTAAATAGGGCTGGAGATGTGGCTCACTGGTGGAGTACCCCTGAGTTCAATCCCCAATACAAAAAAAAAGTATTAAAGTAACATAACTATTAACAGCCAGAAAGAGTAGCTTAAATGTTTCCTCCCTACTGTCAGTCATCTAACTATAGTTGATGTTTTTTCTTTAAAAAAAACAAAACTATTCATTTTGAATTGTAATGTAATAAATACATTATTTGCTTTCTGCTCCTGCTTCCTAAAACCCTTATAATTTCCTGAATGATAGTGCTAGAAGCATCTTTTGTTCTAATATTTGGTCTTTCACTCTGGTTCTATGCATAGAGCTACTAATCATACTAAGTACCTCTTTATCTGGCTATCCACCTGTACCTTTTATTATAGTATCTAAAATAAATAGATAAATGTGTTTCCCTGAGTTTGCTGACCCATTCAAGCAAATTACTCAATCTGAGAAGGGGTAGTGGGAATCCTTCATTTATAGCCAGTTGTCACAACTGTGGGAGGCCTTTAATTGCCACTTCGTCTGAAGTGAGAGCAGTGTTGTGGGACTGAGTCCTTAATCTATTGTGTTTTCAGTATCTTTGGGTAGTTAGTTCAGAATTAAGTTGTAAGATACCCAGTTGCTCCACAGGGAGTTGAAGAATTGCTTGGTATAGAAAAATCCATGTCTGGTGGTAAAAGTGTTGTGAGCAGAATATAGAAAAATAATTTTTACACTTAATGCTTTCATCCTATCTCTGAGCGGCAGGATGCAGCTCTCCTTTTCCCTGAATGCTTGATGCTAGCATTTTCTCTCCGTATTCTCTCTCCAAGCCCTTCAATTGGCAGGAGCTTATAAATACACCTGCAGCTTTTGGTAACTGAATTATGGAAGTAACTTGAAAATCTTATTCTAATCCAAGTTACAATATTAAAAGAATTTTAATCTCATTTCCCTTTGTAAGCAAATATATTAGATGTAAGGACAGTACATTTTAAAAAAAATATTGTTTAGTTGTCAATGGATCTTTTATTTATTTATATGTGGTTCTGAGAATCGAACCCAGTGCCTCACACATGCTAGGTAAGTTCTCTACCACTGAGCCACAAACCCAACCCCTAAGGACTGTACATTTTAAACTATACTTGTAGATATCTGATGGTACTGCTACTGCTAAGTAAATAGTAATATAATGGTATTGAACAGTAACTCATATCATGTGGTAGTCCACATTGATATAAGTATATTTAAATAAATCAGGAGAAGGAATGATCATATATTAGAATTCCAACTGACAAAAGTAGAATGAATAATGGAAATAGAAAATCACTACAGATGCTCCAGTAATGTTTGTTGCAGGTAAAAACCACTGATGAATACAAGACTTACTGGGTGAAAGTACGATGAGAAATAGAATAATATCTCCCCATAAGATACATGCTAGTTATAAAGGGAAGAGTTGAAAGATCCCGCTGTCATCAGTTATTCAAAGACAAGTTCATTAGTAATAAGCCTTGTTGAAAACAGGCACTTCCTTGAACTCACATGATGCACTGAAAAGAGCACAGCATCATTTCCTTAGTATTCTTGCCAAAAATGCATGCCTAGAGTCTAATCAGAACAAACTTGGTTTACAAAATAACCAGTACTCCTAAAAAGTGTCACTATCCTGACAAAGACTGTGGAACCATCACAGATGGGAGGAGGCTAAGAAAACATTACAATGTAATGTAAATCCTGAATTGGACTGGGACTATAAAAATGACTAGGTGCAGTGGCACATGCCTGTAATCCCAGCAACATGAGAAGCCGAAGCAGGAGGATTGTCAAATTTGAGGTCAGCCTCAGCAATTTAGTGAGGCCCTCAGTGACTTAGTGAGAACCTGTCTCAAAAGAAGAAGGGCTAGGCACATAGCTTAGTGGTGAAGCACTCCTAGGTTCAAATCTTGTACTTAAAAAAAAAAAAAAAGAATATAAATGGGAAAATGATGAAATTCAAATAAGGTCTGTGAATTAGTATTTTTGTAAATATCAATTTCCTGATTTTAGTAACTATACTATTAGATGATTACATTAGGAGAAGTTGGGTAAGAATAAAGGGAACAACTGTTTTACTTTTCCAACTTTTGTATGGGTCTTTTAGGGCTCGGGTTGTAGCTCAGTTGGTAGAGCACTTGCCTTGCATGTGTGAGGCACTGTGTTTGATCCTCAGCACCAATAAACAAATAAATAAAATGAAGGTATTGTGTCTGTCTACAACCTTTTGTATAGGTTTAAAAAATATTTTAAAAATAAAACAACCAAGATATTGTTAATATTTGTATTTCACAAAAACTGACTATTTATAAGAAAGGTAAATAATGCTTTATGGGTAGAAGAAATAATGATTCAAATTTTAAGTGTTAAATATAAAGTGAAATTGATTTAAATATTATAGACCTGGCATAGGAAAAAAGTGTGAAGTTCTAAGTCCAGAAAGAGACCCACAATATAACTTACTGAGAATTCTGTATTTGTGAACAGTGATATTTCGAATTAACAGGGAAATGATATTTTATTTAATAAATATGTAGGACAACTAACTAGGAGAAAACTTTAAGCAACCTATTATCTCATTCCTTTTGTATCTATAAGCTAATATCTTAGAAATACTAATTGAAGACAAGAATGAATAATTTATTGGGGGGATTGAACCCAGGGTTGTTTTACCATTGAGGTACATCCCCAGTACTTTTCATTTTTTATTTTAAAACAGGAACTTATTAGATTGCCCATGCTGGCCTCGAATTTGCAATCCTCCTGCCTCAGTCTTCTGGGTGGATGGGATTACAAGTGTGTGCCACCATGCTGGCATCTATGAATAATTTAAATATTGGGACAGGAAGGCCATTCTAAACATGACACAAAGATCAGAAATCATAAAGATTTGTCCTAACAAAAATGCTAAATTTACATATGGGAAAGTACAAAGAATTTGAAACAAGAGGCAGGCAGGAAGAAAATATCTGTAACATAGCAAAGATAAAAAATGCTAGACATGGTGACCCACACCTAAAATCTCAGCAACTCAGCAAGGCCCTAAGCAACTTAGTGGGACCCTGTCTCAAAAGAAAATTAAAAAGGACTGAAGATGTAGGTCAGTGGTAAAGGACCCCTGGGTCATTCCCCAATATCAAAACAAACACAAAACCCCAGAAAAGATTTTTTTAAAAAAGGACAAATTAATGAGCTCACACAAAAATACCTAAGAAAAGGACAAAAATCAATAGAAAAATGGTGAAAATAAAGTGAACAGGGAATTGACATGAGAAATACAAATGGCCAATGAAATGAGAAAAATTGTCTAACTGCACTACTAATCAACGAAACTTTGTAATTGTATCAGGCTCATAAAAAAAGTAAGAGGGCTGATAATATGCAGTATTGGTGAGGGTGTGAGGAACTGAATACTCTCGGACGTTATTAGTAGTATATAATGTTAACAAACTTTTGAAGGGAAATTTAGCAGTAATAACATTTAAAGTTTGCATCTTTTTTGCCCCATGATCTTACTTTTAGGAATTGATCTTAATATTAGTATGAATAAACACAAATGGAGATATGTTTAAATATGTTCATTGGCAGAACTCTATATAATGTTGAAAAAGTAGAAATAAGTTAGACATCCATCTATAAGGAAATTGTTATATTACAACTGGTACATTCTACAATGGTATATTAATGTAAATTGCCCAAAATATAGAATTAAATGGAAAAAACTAGTTGGAAAACTGTGGGTAAACTTCAGGTTCCCAAACTTTCTTAGTTCACAATGCCTTTAATTTTTTTTTTTTTCAGAAGCCAAAAGGATGCTTAACAGTTCTATTACAGTAGTTAAGAAAAGCCAAAAGTAAGTTGCCAAAAAGGTGTCTGTAAATACCAGACACGTCTCCATTTTCTTTGACATTCTGGATGGCAAAGTGATGGAAAAAAGGACAGATATCTATAATTGTTTTAAAATACAGGTTTTCAGGCCAGGTGAGATGGTGCATACCTATAATCCCAGCTACTTGGGATCCTGAGCTAGGAGGATTGTAAATATGACGCCAGCCTGGGCAATTAGCAAGAACCTGTCTCAAAATAAAAGACTGGGAACATAGCTCAGTACCCAATGCTTGCCTAGCATGCATGAGACTCTGGGTTCAATCTTCATTATCATAAAACCAAACAAACAAAATTCACAGGTTTCTATTAATTCCATTCCTAACTATATACTAAAAAGAATCGAAGACAGAGACTCAATTACTTGAACATGAATGCTCATAGCATTATGCACAATAGCCAAAGATGGAAACAACCTGAGTGTTCATGAACAAATGGGCAAATAAAATGTGGCATATACATATAATGGGATATTATTCAGCCATTAAGAAGGAATGAAGTTACCCAGTGAAACAGTCCAGACACAAAAGGACAAATATATTATTTCATTTATATGAAAATATATTCATAGACAAATTCAAAGACACTAGTTGAAGGCTACCAGGAGTTGGAGGGGGAAGGATAAGGATGTTATTGCTTCCTAGAACAAAATTTCTGTTTGCCATGATAAAATTCTGGAAATAGAAAATGGTGATGGTGGGGCAGGGCTGAGCTCAGGGGCAGAGTACTCGCCTAGCATGAACTAGGTCCTGGGCTCCATCCCCATCACCACAAAAAAGAAAAATAGAAAGTGGTGATGTGGTACAATATTGTGGATGTAATTAATACTACCATATTGTACACTCAAAAGTGGTTAAGCCAGGTCCAGTGGTACATCCCTGTTTTCTCAGAAGCTCAGGAGGCTGAGGAAGGAGCATCACAAATTCAAAGCCAGCCTCACCAATTTAGCAAGGCCCTAGGCAATTTAATGAGACCGTGTCTAAAAATAAATAAATAAATAAAAAGGGGTAAGGATGTGGCTCAGTGGGTGTCCCTGAGTTAAATCCTTGGTACAAAAAAAGTTAAAATGGCATATTTTATATGTATTTTAACACATTAAATAAGTTTTAAAAATACATGTTTCCTATCTTTACATTTTTAAAATTTGGTTCATTTTTGTCTGCAAAATTAGATCTAAAAACACCTGGAATCAAATTACTTCTCATTCAACTATCTGTTTTGTGAATTGGCAGGCTGAATTTATACTTTTTCTACTGTTTATTTTTAGGAAGTAGAAAACTATGCTATTTTGTTTAGAAGAGCTTTATAGTTATACACATTAGTTAGATTCATCCTGAAAACTATGCTAATTTTATAAATTACGTTTAACTCAATTTTGGTATTTAGCTATTGGGAAACATTCACATGAAATAACTTGTGAATAAGATCAGTTATGTTTTTCTTGTAGAGTCATTAAACTGACATTTCATTTTCTATAATTCAGCTTTATACCTGTGGGAAGGCAGTGGAAGGAGGAAATAATCATTGGAGACTGGATTTCCTGCCAATTCCACTCAGTGAGCAAAAGCCTAATGCAAGCATGTTCCCATCATGAGTCTCAGCTCCCCCAAGCCTCTCATGGTATAAGCCTCTACTCAACAGTAGTCACTTAAATCAGTGAACCAATATTTTGGGGGTTTTGTTTTGTACAACATATCCTGTACTTGTAAATCAACCACTTGACCTATTACTCAACCAAGAAACACTGATCTCTTCCTACACTGAAGAAACACTGGCAGTTTGGGATTTGCCAAGAAGTGATATGTGGTTCTTGAGGGATTTTTAAGAGTAATACTAAAGGGTCCAGGTAGAGTGTGTACTTAGCATGCTCAAGTCCCTGGGTTTGTTCCCCTACCCCACCACCAAAAAAAAAAAAAAAAAAGTAATACTGACTATATCTGACGTTTACCTTTTTAGCCTAAACTTTGAATAATTTATAATTTTGCTGTTTTCACACCGGTACAATCTAATTTCACCTGGATACTCCTTATAGTGAACATTACAGTATGCAGACTAAGCTCCTGAATATAGTCTATGATGCCCTTCAACAAGTTGTTGTGAGATTTAAATGAAGTGAATGTATATTCAGGATGTGTTATAGTTTCCATATGAGATGTCTCCCCCCAAAAGCTCTTGTGGCAATGCAGGAATGTTCATACGTGAAATGAAATAGATAAGATTATGAAATGAACAGATTATGAGCTGTAAACTGATTAGTGGATTAATCCATATAATGGATTCATAACTTAAATAGGCTACTGGGTGATAAATGTAAGCAGGTAGGGTGTGACTGGAGAAAGTAGGTCACTGGAAGAGTCCCCTTAGGGATTGTAGTTTGTCTCTGGCTCCTCTCTGGCTCTTTCTCTGCTTCTAGGAAAGAAGAGCTGAACAGTTTTCCTCCACCAAGCCCTTCTGCCATTATGTTCTGCCTAACATCTGGCCTAGAGCAAGGAAGCCAGCAGACCATGGACTGAGACCTCTGAAACCAGAAGCCAAAATAAACTTTTCCTACTCTAAGTTGTTCTTGTCAAGTATATTGGTCATAGTGACAAAAAGATAATACACACAGGACAAACAAAATAAATGCTTATTTTTGCTTTTCCTTCAGGATTTACACACACTGTTATTTCTTAAGGGGTTATTTTTTTCCCTCATTTCTACATGGAACACTCTTCCTCTCTCTTAAGACCCAATTAAATGTTGTTCATCACCTCACAATTCTACTTCTAGGTATCTATTCTAGTAAAGCACTTGTTCATATACACAAAGTGGCAGGCACAATGATAATTACTTAAGAATTATTTATATGATAGCAAAGCACTGGAAATCACAATATTCATCAATAAATGGTTAAGTAAACTAAGTATATCCATACTATGGAATGTATGCAGCATTTAAAAACTTCTGAATACCTAAATGAGACAAAATTACAGAAAAGTATGTACAAATCCCATTTACATAATTTCATATGTGATATGTACCTTTATGTCTACTGATCAAAAAATGTTTAGAAGGGGTCTGGGGCTATAGCTCAGTTAGTAGAGTGCTTGCCTTGCACGCACAAGTCCCTGGGTTCAATCCCAGCACCACCAAAAAAAAAAGTGTTTAGAAGGATCTGAGGCAGCGATTAGGATAGGGGGATGTATAAAGAGGGACTTACACTGTACTTTTTTTGGTTTGTTTAAATGAGAATATAATCATATAATATTTAGCATTTTTTTAAATGAAAAAGACTCTAATATTTTCTCCAACATGGGTAGATTTGTTCTTTCCATAGCAGTTTAACTAGGGTGGGCGGTATATGATGATTGTTTACTTATGTCTGTTTCTCTCAGAAATGGTGAACTCCTGAGCTGCAGAGGCTGTGTCCCCAGCAGAAGGCCTGGGAGATTAGGGGCTCAATAAATGATTGCTGAATAAAGGTAAAAGGAAACAACAATTTGCTTAGAAAAGTGCATCTTAAACTCCAGAGAATGTTAAGAAGGAGTGGGAGGGCAGTGTTACGTTGGGCCCCTGCAGCTGTATCCCCAGATAAAAGTTGATGCTGAAGGAGAGGCAGTATGTAAAGGAAAAACGAAAAAAATGGACTCAAGTCCTGCTCTGAGTTCTGGACCCAACCCCTCCACTAACCACCTTCAATGTCTTCTGCTTCTGTATCTACGACCAGGGAGGTATTTTTATAGTTTTAATACGTCATAATCCTGGGTGGCTGTTTCATCCAGCAATGAGCGCTGCTCTTTAGTGGGTCACAACCTGTAACTTGCAAGGCTGGGACTGGCCATCTTGCTGGCTCCTTTGGGTCGCGAATTAACCTTCATTGATCAAACAAGTAACTCTACCATTATAAATGCCCTCCCGACTAGCATCCTGGTGCCATGTTTACCCGTCTCCCCGAGTTCCCTGAGCAGTTCCAGGCCCGCATAGGCTTGGATCTGAAGGCACAAGAAGTGCTAGTGGGTGCCACATACCCAGATTTGCCAAAGAGTAATAATGGCAAAAGTCTAAAGAATCGAGTACCCTCGTTAATGCCATCCTTCCCTGACATCCAAAATTAGGAGTTCTCCCTTTTTCCAGGGGTCAAGCTCACCGCAGAGCTCAGTCTCCACGGACCCGAGGACAGCCCTGCGCGCAGTCCGGAACAGCAGCCAGGGCAGCATCCTCTCCCGCTGGCGCCCGCCGCGCTGCTGACCACTTCCTCCTCCTTTCGTCGCCCCCTCCCACCCCAGGCGCGCCGCTCCCGGCTCTCGAGCGCCCTCCAGCCAACGGCCGGCAGAACGCAGTAGTGCCGGAAGGCGTAATCGCTGACCTAACCGAGCCGCTTTAAATCATTTGAAAAGAAACTAAGTTTTATGCTTTCTTTTTTGTTTTTGCTTTGCTTTTCTTTTTTTTAAATGAAAAATAGTTTAAAAGTGGAAAGTAGAAAAATATGACAAAGCTTAAATATAAAGATTTAAAGTAAATAAACTGCAACTTATAACATGATTTTTCATACATTGGATTAATTTAAAACAGACTACATGAATTTTTTCCTAATTTTTCTTAACTTAAATACCTTGTTTAGCTGAGGTCAGTATTAAAATAATCTCATAGTGTTATCTCCCCCCCCAAGTATTGGTGATATCTGACTATATATGATCATAGCTTTGTCAGGGTTAGGTTCAACTTTGTAAAGTATAACAGTTCACGTTGCTACAATGACAAATTACTACAAATTTACTGGTTCTAAACACAAATTTATTATGTACAGTTCTGGAGATCAGTAGTCACACTTAGATAAAATCAATGTGTCCACAAGCCTGCATTCCTTTGGAAGACTCTAGGGAAGAACTTCCTGCCTTTTCTGTCTTCTAGTGGATGCCTCATTCCTTGGTTCATGATCCTTCACCATCTTCAAAGCCAGCATCATAGGACCTTTAAATCTCTCTCTGATCCCTGCTTCTGTTGTCAAATCTCTTCCTCCTCTGACCTTCATGTCTCTCTCTTATAAGGACCTTTACATTCTGACAATGACATAATGCAAGATAATCTCCCTCTTACAAGATACTTTAATAATGTCTGTAAATTCTCTTTTACACTGTCACAGTTTCCAGGGATTAGAACATGGACATCTTTGGAGTAGGTGGGGACGTTTCTCATTACCTTAAGTTTATTCTCAGTTTAGTTCCCAAGCATAATAAAAAGCTATATTTATCTGAAAATTGATTCATAATTTAAAGACAAGATATTAATTCTAAGTAACATTAAAATGTATGTCCAAGGAATTATTTCATTAAGCATGCCCTTTTATTCAGTTTTCAATAATTCAATAATTAATAAACCACATTTTTATATTCATGATTTCATTCACAGTTATGTTTTTCCAAAACCATAGTCTGTGGAATTTATTTTGTGAACTAACTTTGAACTAAGATGTCCTCATATACTGTGGATGCATGTGTTTGTAGCATCCCTAATGTGACTATTTCTCACAAACCACGGGTAGTGTGAACACATGATATGGAAACAGTGTACTTGGCCTCAATGAGTCAATTTAATCTGATTTATGCTTTTGCAAGAGAAATACTACTAAACAATTCTTTTTCAGGGTCCATAAATAATTGATAAATATTTTTCTATATTTTTTTTCTGAAAGATTAATATGCCCTATATGTACCACAGTCCAAACCTGGCTTATTTAAGAGTCCTTAGAGCAAAAAGACCTTGTCAAGAGAGAATTTTGATAATCTCCCTCCCCTACAAGTCTCAGTTATTTTTTCAGGTTTAAAGTGGGATTAAAGGGAGAGAAGTAGTTTTAAGTTCTCTAATGCTGAATTGTTATGAATCATTAATTCTCAAACTCATTTTTTGTCTTAATGTGTGCAAGTGAAAGGCTATTGAAATGGAAGGGATTTTTAAGAGACTTGGGTTTTTTCCTATTTTTTCCCTAAATTTACTCAAGCCCCTTATAACAAATAAAATTAAGAATTAGAAGATGTATAGCCTTTCATGTGACTTTTTCAAAAGAATATTTACCAAAACTTAAAGCGAATATGTTTTGACTCAGCATTTCCACTACTAATAGCTTATCTAGTGAAAACATTTCCACAGTCGGCAAAGATACATGTACACAAGCAAGGGACTGATTCAAATAAAATGATACACCCATGCACTAGAGTCCTAAGCAACTAGTCAAAAGAATGTGGCTAATGTAGAATTCTGTCCAATGTACATTGTCAAGTGAAAAAAAAAAAAATCAAGTTGTAGAACAGATGTAGACTGTAATCTGGATGTATTCTCTTTCCACAAAAGGTTGTCATAGAAAAATATGATACAAATATATATTGTAAACACAAAGAAAGCTTTTGAAACTCTACAGAACATAGTACAGAAGAAAGGAAATATATTACCTCTTAAGAGAGGAAACGGGAGTGTTGGAAGGAAAAGATGCAGAACTTTATACTTGGTTAAAATAGCATGTATTATTTTTGCAATAAAGAATGTGCTGGGCGTGGTGGTACATACCTATAATCCCAGCAACTTGGGACACAGAGGCAGGAAGATTGCAAGTCCAGGGCCAGCCTGGGCAACTCAGAAGGACCCTGTCTTAAAATAAAAAATTAAAAGGACTGGGGATATAGTTCAGTAGGGTGCCCCTGGGTTCCATCTCCCTTGAGGAGACAGAGAGAGAGAGATGGCCTGTAACTTAGAAAGTATTTCACACATTTACAGACAGAACAAGAATGGTAAAACTAAGATGTTTAGCATTATTCAAAAAATACACATGACATGTAATCCCAGATACTCAGAAGACTGAGGCAGGATTTCAAGGTTGAGGCCAGCCTGGGGAACTCAGTGGGACCCTGTCTCAAAATAAAAGTGCTGGGGACACAGCTCAGTGACAGAGCACCCCTGTGTTCTATCCTCAGTACTGCAAAAATACAAAATAATAATAATAATAATAATAATAATAATAATACACTGCTGATATTAAGTGACTAGTATTTTTATTTGACCTTTTGACATGTCATTGTAATAGTACTAAAAATATACCTTTACAAAGGTATATTTTTAGTACTATTTACAAATGTAACATTTACAAATGATTTCTTTGAGGAATCCACAAAATAGTGAATTTTACTTCAATTAAATGAAAAGATATATAATTTAAAGAACATCAGAAATAAAAACTAATGCAGATAATTTTTAAATCTTGCCAAGTTGCATGGAGGTTGCAGTCTCTGAAGGTCATGCTAATGGTACATCTGAAAATCAAGAGAGCTTCCAAATTTTATTTCAAGAAAAATTTAAGAATTATATGATGGTTTACATGATTCCTAAATTTCTTTTTCTTAGGAAGAGAACCTAAATTTTCATATTCTGATTCTATTCCTTTTTTACTATAAATTGGTTCCAATTGATACAGAAAAAAAATTGCAATGAAATTTAGGATGCAGATTATTTAGATTTGCTCAAGTTTGCATGTCTTTTTTTCTATGTTCTAGGTCGAACCCAATTTCAAAAAATGAAAATATTGATTTATGAAGTAGACAGTTTTGCTTCAAAATTACACCACAACACAACCTCTTTCTTATTTGGCAAACAGCAACCGCTTTTGCCAAGTTTTCACATGGAAATGAGAAAAAATAGAGTTTTAAAGTAAAATCATACTTTTGTGGCCTAACTCTGTGGTATTTTAAAATTTCTAACCTCAAGGGCTGGGGTTGTGGCTCAGTGGTAGAGCGCTTAGCATGTGCTCTACCACTGATCCCCGGCACCACATAAAAATAAATAAAATAAAGGTATTGTGTAAAAAAAAAAAATTCTAACCCCAAATTATCCATTAGTCCCCACCTGTCCTTGTGAAAGGCGATTTCTATAGCCTATCAACCAATGTTAACTTTTGCAATATCTATTAAACATTATCAAACCAACTACTTTATTAAACGTGCAAGATGAGGACCACTTTAATAGATAATCCAGCTTTGAAGAAAAGTATAGGTGTAGGTCAAGAAACGTACGGTCTAGCCAGAAAGCAAGAACACAGGTTCCAGTACAGTCATTTAAAAAAAAAAAATCGTAAAATGATATATGATGAATGACAGCTTTACAGTTCAAAGAAGGGTGATGGAGGGAAGTCAGGGACTGTCCCAAAAGGCGACCAGCAAATACGGGACTCGGGTGGGAAAGTCCTGCGTTACTCCCTCCTAGCCCGTCTCGTGTCCAAGCAGCTCTGCGGAGGTACTGAACGCAGGCGCGACCCGAGCCGGCCCCGCCCCTCCACTGAACGCAGGCGCGACCCGAGCCGGCCCCGCCCCTCCACCTCTCGTCCTTTCGACGCCCCCCCCCCCCGCTCCCGGGCGGGACAACCCGGACGCCAGGCTCCGCCTCTGCCGGCTCCCAGTGGCCGCGCAGGCGCAATGACTCCTGGTTGTACTGCTGCGGCCCGGCCGGGCGGGGTGAGTTGAAGAGACGGCTTGGGGTCGCCACATCTTCTCTGTCTTCGCTTAGGCAACTCAGGCCGGCGGTGGGTGGCGGGTGGGCTGGAAGACAGGTTCCCCATGTCCACTCTCTTTCCAGATTCCCGGGGTCCCCGGGCGGTCACCGTGGGCCGTGTGAGCTCAGCCTGGCCCGCTCCGTGTCTGGGCGGCGGCAGAAGGAGCCTGGGGTCGGGGCGCGAGAGGGGCCCGCGTCCATGCTTCCTGGTGACCCCGGTGTGTGGCGGCTATACACCCTTTCGTCCTCCCAGCAGCGGTCTCTCACAGTAGTTTCTCTTGACTCACTTGGGGTGCGTTTATTAGTGACTGGAGGAAGCGAGTCGAACCACGGCTTTCTGGCAACATCGTGCATCAGGGGCTCTGGAGTCTCGCTGCCTCGATCCACATCTCTATCCTCTAGTTACCGACTCTGGGACTTCAGCATGTCAATTAACTCTCTTTCTCAAGTGTGGAATGGAGAAAATAATAGATCGTATCTCAAAGTAGTTGTGAGGGTTAAATAGGTTAAATATGAAATGTTTAGGATTGAGCGTACTACACAACAAATTGTCTTCTTCGTTCATCTTTTTGAGCCTGGGTCTCTCAAGGGAAATTGTGTCTCATTCTTTTTACCCTCACTCTGGAAAATAACAACTCAAAAATATGTGATTTTTTTTTTTAACAATATAGGCTTTCGTTTGCATAGACTGTTTAAAAACAAAACTTTCCAAATTGTAACAGGGGTTCTCTTGATGTTTTTCTTTTCCCCTAAACCTTCTGCCTGATCTTCTTTCTCCTAAACCTTCTTCCAGATCTCCTTTGCTCTAATCTTCTCCCTGATATTTTCCCTAAACTTCTTTTACCTGATATCTCCTTCCTAATCTCATTTTCCTTGAGTCACCTCTTTAAAAAACCCCTGTTCCCCATGAAGGGTAGAATCACAGCCTTTGGAACCGACTGGAGTCCTCAGTGTTTCTTCTTTGCTGGCAAAGCAATAAACCTTTTTCCTTTTTCTCAAGATCTTGTCTTCGTTGTTGGATTAGTGTGGGGGGTTAGGACTGAACTTTGGGTTACAAAACAAGTTAGCTGCATATCCTGTGTTAAAGAAAAGTTAGGTTATGCTGAAGTTGAAAACTGTAAAGTTTGATGTTTTGAAAACTACATTAGAAAAATGGCCAGAATCTATTTGTGCTGAAGAGTTAACAAAACAGACCCGAGACTGCTATTCTTCCAAGGTCCTGCTTGCAATCTTGGCCCTTGTTTGGCATCTGGGAACTTTGATTTAGGAGTGTTCAAACCTGAGTACAATTAATTTATCCTGAACACTGTGTTTCATGCCCAAATTATCAGTTTCTACAAAAATCTTGTGCTCCAAGTCTCTAATGGCCTTTCTGGGTGGAAGCATTGGATACATGTTGCTGCATATTCCTTGTTGGGGAAAGAATGCTCTGTTTCATCTCTCCAGGGAGGGGGAGAACATAAGGAAGTCTATTCGTGATTCCTCCAGACCCCACCTGTGTCTTTTTCCATTATGATCAGATTGTATATTCATATAGCATGCTATGGTGAAAGTTAGCCCTGAATAGAATATGCTGAGTCCTGTGTATCCTTCTGTCAAAGTCTCCAAATATGGGAGGAGGAGGTCTTGAAGATTGCTAATTTTGATGATAGAAAGTATTAAACTCTTATAATTGGATTTTAATTGTGTCTTTTTTCATTTTTATTTATTGCAAAACAGTATTGAATCCAGGGATGCTCTACCACTAAGCTACATCCCCAGCCCTTTAAATCAAAATTGGAAAAGAAACTACATAGAATTGCTATATTGTGGATTATTGTACAACATGATTCTATATGTTTACACATATTACATATGTCAGAAAAATAATGCAGATATTCTTTCTGTTGCTAACTTAAGTTTGAATCAGTGTTTTTTGTTGTTGTTTTTAAGTTACATGTTTTTACAAATTCTAGGTCAAATGCCTGATTCTGTGTATTATTTTGTCAGATTATCTATACGTTAATGCTCTTTTTTTTTAGCAAGAGTTTACCTGTAATATTGGGAAAAAATAACAACCATTTGCATGGGCCATTTCCCCCTAGATTCTGTTAGTAATATCTGTCTCTTCAGGACATCAAATTAAAATTGATGGAGGTAGGCTGAGGTTGTGGCTCAGCGGTAGAGCGCTTGCCTAGCACATGTGAGGCGCTGGGTTCGATCTTCAGCACCACATAAAAGTAAAAACAGATAAAAATAAAGGTATTAAAAATTGATGAAGGTAGGTTTGTAAATTTCGGGGCAGAAAGATGAGAATTGCCATCTGATTGTGTCTCTTTGACCTAAATAAAGTTGAAGACTAGGAAGTTTTTGCTAAGTGAGTGAAGAGGTGAAGGAGTTGAAGGAAGGCTTAAGGATAGTGAAAAAGGTTTGAAATATATGTGTGGAGAAGATGTAAATTAATTAAAAGGTGTAATGGATAATGTTAGACCCAGTATGCTTGCTTCTGAAACTTTCTCCAGACATGGATAAAATGATTAATTGGATTCATCTAGGATTGGATTCTGCCAGAGGGGTGATGTTGTAGTGATTAAAGCTACGCACAAATATGCTGGTTCACCTCTTTCTTGGTACCTGGTAGGGTTTGCACGCCCCCACCCATTCTTTTCCAGTTAAAGTTCAATGTAGCCAGGTAACTTGTTTTGGTCAGTGAAATATGAGCAGATGTGATGTATAGTTCCAGGTGGAGCTTTAAGAACCAGCTCTGCATTTGCAACTTCCACCTTTTCCGTGTCTGTAGGAATTTTGGTAGGAAGCATTTTCTGAGATGCTGCCTCTTTAGCGTGGACACTAAAGGAGAATAGAAGTGACTAATCAAGCAAGTTGGAAGAACTGGGAAATTGTGATCAGAGAAGGGAAAATTAGGAAATTTGGAAAGCGGAACTGAAAGCAGATGAGGAATGTTAGAGAGAGAAGGTACTTAGAGATGAGGTGGTCAAGGAACTCAAAGACTATTTTTCTGTGACCCTGAATAAAGCCCTTAATTTGTTGCAACTTGATTCAATAATGATGATTCTTTATCTAAAGAAATGGCCTTTAGCTGGGGAAGTTGAGCATATGGTCAGCAGGTATGAGGCCTGGGGTTCTGTTTCTAGCAATAAATAAATAAATAAATAGATAAATAGATAAATAAATAAATAAATAACCAACCAACCAACCAACCAACCACTAAATTATAAACTTGGAATCTCTCCCCCCCCCCCCCAATCAAGGATTGGACTCAGGGGTGCTCCACCACTGAGCCACATCCTCAGCACTATTTTGTATTTTATTTAGAGTCTGGGTCTCACTGAGTTCTGTAGGGCCTTGCTAAACTGCTGAGGCTGGCTTTGAACTTGCAATCCTCCTGTCTCAGCCTCCTGAGCCACTGGGATTTCAGGCATGTGCTGCTATGCCTGGATGAAGGCTCTCTTTCTGAAACATTAAATGATAATATTCAGAGCTAGGTGCAGTGGCATAGCCCTATAATCCCAGTAATTTGGGATACTGAAACAGGAGGATTGCCAAGCTTGAGGCCAGACTCAGCAACTTAGTGAAACCCTAAATAATTTAGCAAGACCCTGTCTCTAAATTTAAAAAAAATATGGAGGGTGGGGAATGGGGATGTGACTCAATGGTTAAGCCCCTCTTGGGTTCAAGCCCCAGTACAAAAAAAAAAAAAAATGTTTCCACATGGAAGTGATACATGCTACTTAATACAGCACAACCTGTGTAATTTAGGGAGATCCAGTCTCAAAATATATAAGCTGGTGATATAGCTCAGTGGTAGAGCACCCCTGGGGTCAATACCCAGTTTTGCAGTAAATAAACAAATATGAATGAGAATAAATATTCAGGAGTTAGTATTGAATCCAAAGATCCATTACTTTGATTATTAAAAAGTAACCACGAAAATTGTAATGTAGCTTAGTCACCTAGCAGGACAGCATTAGGTAGGTTTTAGGCTGACTACTCTAAAAGAGACTCTAAAATATAAAATTAAAAAAATAGCTTTCATCTAAAATCTTTAGAATTAACTGAGTTTTTAAGAAATATAAGTGATAGGGATAAAGGATACCATGAAGAAAGAGACAAATTCAGTGTAGGACATTATATTATATAACTTTGCCACTGAAAAAGTGTTGCATGGGCCCCCAGTAATGGCTTCAATTTGGAACTTGTTAGGCAAAAATCTTAGGTATTGTGCTAGACTCATTAAATCAGAATCCACATTTGAATAAGATCCGCAAGGTGATTTATGTGCACTGCCACTATCTTTTTAAAAAGCCAGGGTCCTTGGCAAGTATAAGGTTGGAAGAACTATTCTAGATTAAAAGATAACAGGAAAAAAAAGTATAAGAATACTAAAGAAACATAAGTAATATAAAGTACAAGCCTTGATTGAAACCTTATTTAAAAAGCCAATTATAGAAAACACTTTTGGGTCAACTAAGGAAATTAGACTAGGATAGAAGATGATATTAGAGAAGTGTTAATTTTCTTAGATATGATAATGATCTAGTTATATAGGAGTTTTTTTTTAAAATTCTTCAATGATACATGCTTAAGTATTTAGGGGTGAATTTTCATTATCTGTGCAACTTATTTTCAAATATTTCAGCAAAAAAAGAAATATGCTGCCAGGTGCAGTGGCTCATGCCTGTAATCCCAATGGCTTGGGAGGTAGAGGTAGGAGGATAGGACAGCAAGTTCAAAGCCAGCCTCAGCAACTTAGCAAGGCTCTAAGCAACTCAGTGAGACCCTGTCTCTAAATGAAATACAAAAAAGGGCTGGGGATATGGCTCAGTGGTTAAGTGCCTCTGGGTTCAATCCCTGGTACCAAAAAAAAAAAAAAAAAAAAAAAAGGAAAAACACTCATATATGTCTATATATAATTGATTTTTCAGTGAAAGAAATATAGCAAAATGTTAATAGATGTGACATCTAGATAGTATATGAGTATTCATTATACTGCTTTTTTTCTTAATTTTTTTTTTTTTTTTTTTTTAGTTGTAGTTGGGCACAATACCTTTATTTATTTATTTATTTATTTATTTATTTATTTTAATGTGCTAAGGATTGAACCCAGAGCCTCCCACATGCTAGGCAAGCGCTATACTCCTGAGCCACAACCCCAGCCCTCTGCTCTTTTAACTTTATAGATGTTTAAAATTTTTCATAATAAGTTTGAGAAAAAATGTGGTTGCTTAAAAAGATAGAAATTTATTTATTTTTCTCAGTAATCAAGCTGTAGATAGTATAGCACAGGTAGGGGACTTTGCTTGGCTTATATCTTCTAACCCTAGTCCAGTGTGATATTCCAGGAGGGACACACAAATGTTTAGTCTCCTACTTTCTCCTTGCCAGAAGGATGAGAGAAAGGACAAGAGGAGGACACATTGTCCAGAAGCAGCACTTATTTAACTTGCTGATTAAAACTTTTTTTTTTCCCCCATTCACCTAGATGTCTCATATCTGGGGATATGTCTTAGTTAAGTCTGATATAAATTACTGTAGGCTGGGTGAATAATTTTTGTTTTATTTATTTTGGTACTGGGGATTCAACCCAGGGGTGCTTTACCACTGAGCTATATCCCCAGTCCTTTTTAAATTTTTTTATTATGAGATGGGGTCTTGCTGAATTTTTGAGGGGTTTTCTAAATTGCTGAGACTGACATCAAACTTGCAATCCTCCTGACTCAGCCTCCTAAGGAACTGGGATAATAGATGTGCCTATTGCACATGGTGTCTGGGTACCTTAAACCACAAACATTTCTCAGTACTGAAGGCTGGGAAGTTCAATCAAGGTGCTGGCAGATCTGTTGTTAGCAGGGCAATTTAGATCCCTGTTAAACAGACCTATTTGTCTTGGCCATGCTCTCCTTGTGTCTTGACAGATACTAGCCTAGCTTTCTGGCTGCTTTTTATAAGATTAGGAATCTCATTTTTGAGGGCTATACCCTTATGACCTTGTTAACCTCCCAAAGCTTTCATCTTCAAGTATTCTCATTTCAACAAATGAATATGGCTTGGAGAGAGGAGGACACACAAATGTTTAGTCTATAACAAGGTAGTTGGTTAAAGTCAAATGGAATGTAACATTCGAACATTGTCTGTGTTTTTGTGGGTGTGGGCATGGTATTGGGGATCAAACCCACGGCTTCATGCATGCTAGGTGAGTACCCTACCATGGAGCTATATCCCTAGCCCATTTTTAAAAATTTGAGACAAGGTCTCACTAAGTTGCTGAGGCTGGCCTTGAACTTTAGATCCTCTTGCCTCAACCTCCCTAGTAGCTGGGATTACAGGTATGTGACACTGTGCTCGACATGTATATTAATTTGAATAAAGGTTTATTTTTTATATAGTGTTTCCATCTTTTTCCTCTGTTGTTGATTAACTAAACCAATTAAAATTGAAGCCATTGCAGTTTTCATGTGTGTGAAATAAAATATATAAAATTTCAGTTTTGAAGATTAAAGTATATTCATTTTTTTTCCTTAAATCTTTTCAGTAATAACAGATGCGGGTAAAAGATCCATCCAAAGTTTTATCTGAGAAAGGCAAAAGAAATAAAAGGCCTTCGATACCTCATGATGAAGATTCTTCAGATGACATTGCTGGTAAATTATGATATCTAGCATCCCAAATGGTATTGGAGAAAAGAAGTAACAATGCATATTTTTAATTGATGATCCATTACTGTTTATTTTCACTGTTTCTGTATAAAGTTGAGGATTGTCTAATTTCAAGCTCTGATTGTTTTTTCTTGTTGTTGTTTTTTTGTGGTGCTGGGGATTGAACCCAGAGCCTTGTGCATGTGAGGCAAGCACCCTATCAACTGATCTATATCCCCAACCCTCTGATTGGGTTTTTATTGGAATTTTTGTTTAGCTTATAAAGTAAATAAGAATTAGTGCTTTTTTTTTTTTTTTTTTTTGGTTCCTTTTTATAGTCTCCAAGCCAATAGAGAATGGGCAGATAGTGACCCTTTAGGTCTGTTGACTTTACAACTTGGTTTTCTCTGAAGCCTCATACCTTATGTTTTGGTGTCTGATGGTTTTCTTCATTTCCTCGCAGGTTATCTCTCCATTTATAAATAAGTTTTATTTTGTCCATTTTAAATGTTAGTGCTTCAAGATGGCTAGCTTGCGGGGCTGTCATTAGAGCTCAGTAGTAGAGCACTTGCCTCATGTGAGACCCTGGGCTTGATCCTCAGCGCCAAGTAAAAATAAGTAAATAAAAATAAAGATATTGTGTCCATCTACAACTAAAAAAAAAAAAAAAAAAAAGGATGGCTAGCTTGCTATAGTGAAGGAAGTCTGAATTTTTTAAAAAAAAATTTTTAATAACTTTATTTATTTACTTTTTATGTGGTGCTAAGGATCGACCCCAGGGCCTCACCCCTGTTAGGCAAGTGCTACAGCCCCAGCCCCTGAATTGTTCTTTTTTTTTTTTTTTTTATTGTTGTTGTTACTGTTGTTTGTGGTGCTTGGGGTGGAACCCAGAACCTCAGGTATGCTGGGCAAGCACTCTAGCACTGAGCTATACCCCTTGCTCCTGATTATTATTACGTTAGTTCTCTTTTGATGGTTTTCCACAGTTATCACTTTCTCAGATTCTCTAAAATTCTTTAAAATTCTTATTTCCTTTTCATTCTGCTTGCTGTTTTCATTTTTTCCCTTTATTGTCTGCCACAGTGTTTGTTTTATCTTATGTTCTTTTTAGTTTAGCCTTCATTTTTATGGTTTCATTTGTTTTTAATTCTACTTCTTTCTTGAACTGTGCCAGTCCCTTCGTATTATTTTGCCATCTTTTTCTAGAGTGGTTGTTTCTATTTTGTTTTTTATTTCATGGCAGCAATTGCTTTGCTGTTCGTTTTTCCCTTTTTTCTTTTCCCTTATCATAGAATCTGTGGCTTTGATTTCTCTTCGATTACTCATTCTTTGATGTAGGATTGCTTTTCTTGGATGAACTAGTTTTAGAATATTTTTATAAGAAAGTGTTGTGATTTGGATGAATGTTTAATAAGGAACCCATGCATGTTAATCTTGTGGTCCCCAGGGTGGCACTCTTTGGAGGTAGCATGCAGTGGGAAGTTCTTAAGTAATTAGTGACATGCTCTAGGGGCTGTGGGTCCCTAGCCCATCCTCTTTCTTCTTGCTTCTTGTCTCAAGAGGTAAGTAGTTTGCTCTGCTACATGCTTTCACCATGTTGTTCCAACTCCTGTCCAGAGACCCAAAGCAGTGAAGCCACTTACTTTTGGACTGGAACTTCCAGAACCATGAGCAAAAGTAAACCTTTTATCATTATAAGTTAATTAATTTGTTATTATAAGTTAATTCTCTCAGGTATTTGACTAATACAGGGGTGAGAACTTTGTTGAGTCCTATCTAGTTTTGACTTTGAGATCATATCATAGCCTTTACTTTTTTGTGGCTAAGAGGGTTATGCAATCCTAGTTTTTTTCAGAACTAAAATACCTCTTCTCCCTAACTGCCATAGAGACAATACAATTTCCTGATAATATGTTTTGCTTTCTTTTTTTTCACTTAATGAACGAGAAATTCCTTTCTTTTCAAAACAAAATTGGATATGGGGAGCTCCTGCCACTGTTGTTAATGTGTAGCTATTTAGATTTTGCTATGTATCTAAGAAGCATATGTTTATGAAATCTACAGCTGCATTATTCTCTCTGCTTTCTTCTATGTGCACTTCTATCTGATATCTACTGCTTTGAGATGTGAGCCCTGCCACTTAATTCATGACTTGGGACTTCAGCTATCTCCTGTTTTCTTCCCATTCTTACTGCCTTTTGAAAATTTCTGGGTGAAAAAGAGGGAAGTGTCTATTTTTATGATAGCATTTTCAAATTTGAAAAATTTCTTTAAATTTTTTCTTAATATTTTAAATTGAAAACAAAGATTTCAGTTATTGTTTTTGATTTGTTTAATGTAAAAACACTTAGACTTTAATCTAATTTTATATTCATGGATCCCTAAGGATTTATTTTTCATTATACAGTGAAACTAATTATAATAAACTGAAGAAATTTACTTATTAAAATAAAGGAATTTTTTTAACTTATTCTTCCCAGAAGAGATAGTGAATACTGTTTAAACAGCAGTTACTTACTATAGGAAGATTTTAGGCTGGAAAATTCAGTGCTGGAAATGGAACCCAGGCCTTGCACATGACAAGCACTCTATATACTGAGCTATATTCCAGCTCCTGGTTGAGATCTTTAAAAGCTAATAGATTTAATTTAGGTCCTGGAAACTTTTTGAGTTCACTTATCTCCGAAATCCTTAATAGTTTTAATTTTAAAAGTCTGAATAGTACAATCAGAGAATGTTTAAATTGTACCCTGGGTGGATCCCATTTTAGAGATTATGTAGAAAGGTATGTAGAATGGTTTTCCCCTTAGAATTTTGAAATATAAAGTTCAAACAAAGCAATGACATTTGGTAAATCATTTTTAGATCCTTTACATGCTGCTTATTCATCAATCTTCCCCAGAATTATTCTTTCCTTGGTGGCACGGGTGTTTGTTTTTGAGAGACACAACTGACTTCAGAATTACTTCTTTTATATTTGTTTATATAGCTTGCTATTGATATAAAATTAGAATTTTTAATGTTTCATTCATATTTACATATGATTTTTGTGATTATATTTTATTACAAATTACTTATCATATTCTTAGTCTTCAGGATGAAAGAGAATTAATGCATAGTTCCATTAACTAACTTGTTTCTAGTTAATTAGCAGGTTAAAAAAAAAAGACTGCTTTGCATTTAGAAAGTGAAATGCCCATACTTCTCTTTTTCCTTTTTCAGTTACTTATTCTTTCTTTTTTTGATTTTGGTAGATAGTTATAGTTTTGATGTATGAATATCTGAGGTAGAGTGTTCAGGTATTTGAGAGAAATGGAGTGTAACTGTGCCCTTGGGAGAAGAGCAGTTACTTGAGGACTTAAAAATGTATTTGCCTAGGGGGTTGTGGCTCAGTGGTAGAGAGCTTGCCTAGGATGTGTGAGGTATCTCCTATAAATAAATAAAATAAAGGTCCATTGAAAACTAAAAAAAATGTATTTGCCTAGTTTTGGCCAAAATATCTCCAAACGGAGCACACAGTAGAAGCTGTTATAAAGGATCATTTGAGAGCAAACAAAATAATTTGTTCTTTGAAAATATTCATTAAGGAGAATCCTGAGAACTCTGGGTTCTTTAAATTATACCATTGTTCCTCTTTCTTCTTTTTCCCAACAATGATGAAAATAGCAACATAGCAAAGCTAATATATGTAAAATGATTTTATATATGTATTCCCCCACCCTCCTTTTTTTTTCAATACTAGGGATCATCCTGGGCTTTGTGTAGCTAGGCAAACTTGCTCTACCACTAAACCATATCCCCAGCCCTCTTTTTGGTGCTAGAAATTGAGTTCAGGATCCTGTACATGCTAAGCTGCCACCAAGCTACACTTCCAACCCCTGTATGTGTATCTTAATGGATAGAAAATAGTAAAAAATGCTTGACACATAGTAGCCATTCAATAAATAATCTCCTTTTGTTTTTATTTTTGAACTCATGTTAAATTTGTAGGAAGATACAAAGAAACACAGTGTTTTAATCAGCTGTTTTCCCACTGTGACTAAAAGACCCAACCAGAACAATTATAGAGGAGGAAAAGTTTATTTGGGGGAAAAGTTTGTTTGGGGGCTCATGGTTTCAGAGGTCTCAGTCGATAGACAGCTCCATTCCTTGGGGCTGGAGATGAGGCAGAACAACATGGTGGAAGAGTGTGGCAAGGGGAAACAGTTCACATGATGATCAGGAATCAGAAAAAAAGGTCCTCACTTGCCAAATACAAATATACAAAAGCCCCACTTAATTCAGCCCCACCCCATGTGCCTTCAGTCACCACTCAGATGATGGGATTAACTTAATCCCATCAGATGGTTGATTCACTGAGTTAAGATTTTTGTAAATCATTCATTTTTTCTCTTAAACCTTACATGGTCTCACATGTGAGCTTTTGGGGGATACCTCACATCCAAACCATAACATACAGTGAGGTCCCATTCATCTGTCACTCAGCCTTCCCTGATGTTAGCATCTTATATTGATTTAGTACAGTATCCAAACCAGTTGTATAATCCTTAGTTTATTCAGATTTTACCAGATGATGATGATGATGATGATGATGATGATGGTGGTGGTGTGTGTATGTGTGTGTGTGTCTGCAGTTTTATTACATGTGGAGCTTTGCATATTTCAAGGAATTTGACTGTACCACTCTCACCACCACTCTGTGTGTTACCCATTTATATCCACCCCCTTCTTTGTTTCTATTCCCTAATTTGTTCAACTCCCGAATTGTTAATTCACAGATGTTATATAAATGGATTTGTGTAACATGTGTCCTTCTGATTTATTTCATTTTTGAATCCCTTTGCTTTTTAGTTAACAGCATTTTAATGCTATGGACTTTGCCTTCCTAATAATAGCAGTAGTATAGCCAAGAAAAAAAAAAAGTTCACATTTTGTTTCATCTTGTTCAGGAGGTTTAACTTGCCAACATGTAAGTCATGCTGTTAGTGTGAATCATGTGAAGAGAGCAGTAGCTGAGAATCTATGGTCAGTTTGTTCAGAATGTTTAAAGGAAAGAAGATTCTATGAAGGACAGCCAGTACTTTCTTCAGATACTTGGTTGTGCCTCAAGTGTGGTTTTCAGGTAAGAAAAGTATTATTTATAGTGAGTATGTTTTATACCTTTCCTTAAATGCTTACTGTGAGTGGGACATAGTCATGCCTAGGACTTAAGTTTATCCCATTCTTAGATTGAAACTTTCCAGAAATAAACTTGGAAATGTTTTAGGTAAAGTAAGATATATGATATGTTCAGAAAGTAATTGTGTTGTTCATAAATATTTGAAAAGGGAATCTCACTCACTTGTGATAGTTCTTATTTCTGGACCTTTTAATCCTTTAACCTTTTGTTTTTACTTAGGAAAGGGATCCAACTTTTTAGATTCATTTTCCACTCTCAAAGATTATTCTGCTTTTTTAAAAAAAGTTTAGATAACTTGAGTATATCTAGAAGTTTAGAAGTTATTGTTATCTATAATAAAATAATATTCTAATTAAATTAAAAATGTGTACTTAGGGGAAAAAAAAATAGCAGTCTCTATTATCTCAAATAGAAGTCCAGAAGTTGGGCCCCTTCATGGTTAGTTATTTCAAGAGAAAAAAATAGTAAAGGCTGAGGCTTCTATTTTTCTGCTGGGCTGTATCTAATTTTACAGTTTCAAGATGACTGAAGATACTTTTTTTTTTTTTTTTTTTAATATTTATTTTTTAGTTCTCAGTGGACACAACATCTTTGTTTGTATGTGGTGCTGAGGATCGAACCCGGGCCGCTCGCATACCAGGCGAGCGCGCTACCGCTTGAGCCACATCCCCAGCCCGACTGAAGATACTTTAGGCATTATGAATCACAGAAATTGCCAAAGCTCATAAAGAGGGGGAAAGAATATATCCCTTACATTTTTTCTTTTTTTGGTACCAGGAATTGAACCCAGAGGCACTTTGCAACTGAGTCACATCCCAGCCCTTTTTATATTTTATTTTGAGAGAGGTCTCACTGAATTGCTTAGGGCCTTGCTATGTTGCTAAGGCTGTCTTTGAACTTGTGATCCTCCTTGCCTCAGCCTCCTAGCCACCGCACCAAGCCTATCCCTTTCCTTTTAAACATATATACAACTTCCCCAGAAATATCCATCAGACTTGACTCTCTCTCAAGTTATGTTAGCAAGAATTATAGTATATCATTTCTTTACTTAACTAAGTGGAGGAAATTATTATGTTTGGTCTGTGTCTCATTAGTTCACAGAGGGGCTGCAGTGGAAATGTATACAGGAGTAGGGAATATATTTGGGGAGGGGCACTACTGACCTACCAGGATGATCTGCGTCCCACACTATGCAAGACAATAAATAAATTTCTAAATGATAGGGAAATTAACTTTGCTTATGATTGTTTTAGGCAAATACTATATCATGAAAAGTAAATTAGTCTCTACAAAAATTAAATTTAATAAGAATCTATTGCTTTCTGAAACAGTTCCCCTTTGCTTGGAAGTTAAGACAATTTTTTTGTATTTTTGAGTACAGGTTAAGTTTTGACTAATTCAAAACAAACTGTGTAAATCATACAAATAGTATTCTGTCATTTTCAGGGATGTGGTCAAAATTCAGAAAGCCAGCACTCACTGAAGCATTTCAAGAGTTTCAGAGCAGAGTCCCATTGTATTATAATTAGTCTGAGCACGTGGATTATATGGTAAGTTAAATTTTGTTAGTACTGGTGTAAACAAACCAAAAACCAAGATCTTTTTCTTTGAGCTTTATAAGGTAACATAAAGATGTAATACCCATATATGCTATTTAAACCTGAACACAGTCTATAGAAGTTTTTGTTTTTTGGGGAAAGGCCTAGGAGTTGAACCCAGGGCCTTGATCATGCTAGGCAAGTGCTCTACCACTGAGCTACCTCCCCAGTACCCTCCCCCTTTGTAACAATCTTGAGAGAGGGTCTGGCTAGATTGCCCAGGCTAGTCTGTAACTTGAGATCCTCCTCCCTTATCTTCCTGAGTATGTGAGATTATAGGCATGTTTCACCATGCCTAGTTCATAGGATAATTATAGAAAATCACTGTTACCCATGAACATAAAATTTAAATGAGGGGAAAAATCTATTTTTTTCCTACTTTTCTCTATCATTTTCCTTATACCATAAAGAAAAATTCTGTCTGGTAGAGTTTTCATAATTGACGTGTTACAGAATTCTGGAGTTTTAGTGAAGGAAGTTACTTCAAGCAGTCCAGGTGATTTGGTGATTTCTATAGTGAAAGGGAAAGCCTGAGCTTAAGTATTTTATAAGAACTTCTCAGGCGACTCTGCTACTTAACCCTGGTAGACCTCCTAGTCAGTTTCTTCATTTTATTTGTAAGGAAACTGAGTACCATTTAATTTTTGTTTGGTTACAAAGTAAAAATTTAGGCACCAAAATGAGTTTTTTTATTCCCTAATGTGTTACCAGCATACCATATGTTTTAGTGGTGTAAGTGAGACACTTTTGTTAAACCATGATGCAAAAAAAAAAAAGACCACCAACTCCAATTTAAATCAAATTAAAGCAAGCTTGTAATTCTAACCGGCTGGGGCTGTCTCTCCTGAAACCCATGGGAATAGAAGACAGCCCTCCAGCTCTCTAGGAGCATAGTTTTATAGCACCAAAATGTTGCAAAAGTGGGGGGTCTTGAGAACTTAACAGATAACAGGATTTTGACAAGCATAATACAAAGGCAGGTAGTAGGTTAATGGTCTAAATGGTTCAGCACTTAGGGAGTAAATTTAGATCCCAACACCAGAATTTATGAGGCGCCACTAGAGTTTCAGAGAGGGTCGTTATCTGCCCAGGGAAAGCCAGAATTTATGAGGTGCCACTAAAGTTTCAGAGAGGGTTGTTACCTGGTCAGGGAAAGCCAGGCATGGGTGAGTTCAAGGCATGGGCAGGTATTCCAAGCAAGTTTAGAAATTGCAGTACTTTATAGTAAAGGCAAAAAATTAACTTTTTATGCCTTTGTGACAAGATGGCTCCCAATCTTATGAGGGAATTAGGCTGGGTTTATCACTTTCCCTGTATTTTACAACAATAATCTTCTAACTGGAGTCTGTAGCCTCAGGGTCCCTTGAATGTATTTTCTGGAGTTTTCAAATTTTAAGACAAACATTTTAACTTATGTATGATTTTAGGATTCCAAAATTAATACAAAGATATTTTTGCTCATTTTGGTGTTTGCTGCATTTTTGATTTTTTTGTTTGTTTGTTTTCGTTGTTGTTGTTGGGAGTCTGAGGAAAGAGTAGAGAGAACTTAAATGAGGGGAAAAAGTATGTAAATGTAAATGATGCATTGGAGTTAAGCGACAAGGAGATGATGTCATAGTATTGCAGCTAAATAAAGATTTTACTGTGGTCATGTCACATTGTGTGATGCATCAGAATCACCTGGAATATTTTTTAAGACAGATTTCTGGGTCCCAGGCCTAGAGATTGTGATTTAGTAGTCTGGGGTGGGGCCTGAGAGTTTGCATGCCCAGCAAGTTCCTAAGTGTTGCCAGTACTGCTGGTCCAGGAACCACAGTTTGAGAACCACTGAAATTAAAGGGAAAAAAAAAAAGAATTGCCAGGAAAATTGGTAAAATAGGCTCATCTCAAATCAATCTGCTCTGTTGTAAGTACTGTATGAATTGTGGTTTTAATTTTTAGCCAAGTAGACTTAGCCAGCATAATAAATTAGTGTTAGTTTTAACTTATTTGGGTTTGTGATTTTATTTTTACATTTAATTATCTAATTTATTTTGTTTTTATAGTTATATGAGTTTGGGTGTGTGTTACAATTATAATGAAAATAACTAAAGTCATATTTGAAAGTCTATAGAATTATTTTCCTATGAAAGAAGATATTCAAGTTTGTCAAATATAATTATAGGAATTTAAATGTTGTCCTATTTTAGTTTTTCTAATTTTTTTCTTTTTATTATTATTTTTTACTTGTTCTAATTAGTTATACATGATAGCAGAATGCATTTCAATTCATTGTATACAAATGGAGCACAACTTGACATTTCTCTGGTTGTACACGATGTAGAGTCATACCACATGTACTCGTTTTTCTAATTTTTTTTTTAAAGGAGAGAGAGAGAGAGAGAGAAGAGAGAGAGAGAGAGAATGAATCTTTTTTGTAGATGGCACAACACAATGCCTTTATTTTTATGTGGTGCTGAGAATCGAACCCGGGTCCCGCTAAGTGAGCGCTCTACTGCTGAGCCACAATCCCAGCCCCATCATTTTTCTAATTCTTAAGCAATAAAAAACAATGATTTTAGTAGAATACTTTACTAGTTTGGATTAGAGGAAAGCCAACCTGAATTAGAGAAAAAATCTGAACTGTATAAAAAGGAAAGGTAAATCACAGACTTTGTAATTTAATTACTGCTAACAAGGTTAAGGTTGCTAGATAGTGGATATAATACTACTCAAAGCACAGTGGTTCTTACCTCTGATTTCACATTAGAATCATACTGGAGGATTTTGAAAAATCTGTAGGTACCAATGGTCTTTTCTTAAATAACATCTATTAAATCAGGGTTCTGTATTTTTTTAGTTTTGTTGGTGACTATGAAGCCTAAACAGAGTGAAGAAGCAGTACTTAAAGTTAACATATAAACATTTAAAGTATTCAAAAGTTTGTTGATGGAACATTTATTTCCTTTGTATTCTTGTTACATTACTGATTTATGAGCCCTCCTATTTCACATTCTCATCTGTAAAAAGAAAATATATGAAGATAATCTATTTTTTTTAAAGAAAGAGAGAGAGAGAGAGAGAGAGAGAGAGAGAGAGAGAGAGAGAGAGAGAGAGTTAATATTTTTAGTTTTCGGCGGACACAACATCTTTGTTTGTATGTGGTGCTGAGGATTGAACCCGGGCTGCACGCATGCCAGGTGAGCGCACTACCGCTTGAGCCACATCCCCAGCCCATGAAGATAATCTATTTTTAAAAGTAATTCTTTTGTGATTTTATGAGGAATTAAACCAGATAATGCATGCAAATTTAGAACAGACTCTGGTATATAGTAGGTGCTCAATTAAAATTTGGGGGGTTATTTTTAGTGGAAACTAGAATTAAATTATTCTGAGCTCTCTCTTTTCTCCAAATTCACCATATCATCTTGACTTTTTATTTTTTTTGTACTGGGGATTTAACCCAGGGTGCTTTACCACTGAGTCACCAATCCAGTCCTTTTTATTTTTTATTTTGATTCAGGGTCTTACAAAGTTGCTTAGAGCACTACTAAGTTGCTGAGGCTGGCTTAGAACTTGTGATCCTCCTCCCTCAACCTCCAGAATTACTGGGATTGATCCTCCTCCCTCAGTCTCCAGATTTGTTGGATTATAGGTGTGTGTCACCACACCCAGCCCATGTTGGCTTTATTTACTTGCTTTTTTTTTTTTTTTTAATACTTTCAAAGTTAGTATATTCTATAGCAAGTAAAACAAATCACAATAACAGTAAAAATTTCTTTATATTTTATTATTTGGAAAATGAAAATATTTTACATTTTGTTATTTATTTTGGGCACCAGGAATTGAACCCAGGGGCACTTAACCACGGAGCCACACCCCTATCCCTTTTTTGTTTTTTAGTTAGAGACAGGGATTTGCTGTATTGCTTGGGGCCTCATTAAGTTGCTGAGGCTTCCTTTGAACTTGCAGTCCTCCTGCCTTAGCCTCCCAAGTCACTGGGATTACAGGTGTGTGCCACCAAACCCAGCTCCATATATTTTGTTATTTTTGACAATAGTTAAATGAATAAATATTGGGTACCTATTAAAATGTAAGTTTTGTATTGTAATTAAATTGTTTAAATTCCTCCATGGTTTATTGAAAGATAATGTTTTTAGGAATGTTTTCTGTGACTTCTTTTTTCTTTCTAGTAATAGAGTGGGAACTCAGTAAAAACTGAATTTTGAATGCTTTTTATAAAAGAAACCCAAATCTAGCTTATAGCCATTAATAATCTCAGGACCACTAATAATTAAAGAGACAAGATTGAATATGTAAGGTAGTGTTTGGTAAAACCCATCATGTTTATAAAACAGTTTCAAACACATATTCTTATTTGATCATTGGATCCATGAAGATAAAGGAAACAGGTAAGGGCAATATAAAGAAAAAAAACATCTTAAGGGGCTGGGGATATAGCTCAATTGGTAGAATGCTTGCCTAGCATGCACAAGGCCCTGGGTTCAATCCCTAGCACCACCAAAAAAAAAAAAAAAAAAAAAAGAAGAAACATCTTAATGCTTTAGGCACTAATAAAGAAACTTAATTGAGAATAGTTTTCTGAAATGTAATGTGCTTTAAAAAATCTCTTTCCTAATTTCTTACCTCTGAATAAGCCCTAAATTTAAAAAGTTTTGTCTTTCTTATATCCAGAGATAACCAAAAAATGTCTCTTACTAAACATTGGAAAATATCTCCTAGGGTGCACAATTGGTTCAAGTCGAGAATCACTAACACACCTTGCCTGCTCCTCCCTTCCTATGATAGTTATTTTGATACTTAACCTCTCCTGCATCCTTTATGTCTAATTCATTACTGTTTCTACCTGAAAATATAATTAAGTATGTTCATTTCTTTCCAGATTCACATTACTATGCTGATCTTGCTGTTCCCATTACCTTTCAATTTAGTTTATCACATTAGTTGAAGTGAATATATTTATTTATTTATATTTGTATTTTAATTATGTAAATATTTTATATTATATTTATTTATATTTTTGCCTTGTACATGCTACCAAGTGAGCTATATCCCCAGCCTCTTAAGATGTTTTTTCTTTGTACCTGTTTCCTTTATCTTCATGGATCCAATGATCACATAAGAATATGTGTTTGAAACTTTTATAAACATAATGGGTTATATCGTTATATTTATATTTATAAATATAAATTAGGTCTTATTACTATCCTACTTAAAACATCCTCATAACATTCTATTACACTTAAGGAAAACTATCAGACTTTTTTTTTTTTTATTTCCCTGAAGTACAGGGGATTGAACTCAAGGATTCTTGAGCATACTAAGCAAGCTGTCTTTCAATGAGCTATACCCTGTCTCTACAAAACTTTTATGTCAACTCAGAGGCTCTGTATAAACTATTCCCTGTCTCTAGACTTACCTAATGCTTTCCCCTTTGTATTCCTCTTAGGTAATTTAAAGACAAGTGTGTTATCTAATGTGCAAAATTATTAAAGTTATTAATGTGCATAATATTTGCTTAAATTTTATTATTTTTTCAGGTGTTATGAGTGTGATGAAAAATTATCAACGCATTGTAATAAGAAGGTTTTGGCTCAGATAGTTGATTTTCTCCAGAAACATGTTTCTAAAACACAAACAAGTAAGTTAAGCAATTCCTAAAGGAATGTGTATTAAAATATGATATTTCATATTTCATATAAAAAGTTTGTAAATTCATAAAGATACCATAAGATTTCACTGTGACATCTCAGCCTATAATTTGAGTAAAGATGTTATGTCATGCATGTCACACATGGCAAGCTCATAATGTTACTTTTTTTTTTTTTTTTTAAACTAGGGATTGAACTCGGGGCCTCATGCATGCTAGGCAAGCACTTTACCTCTGAGCTACATTCCCAGCTCTTATAATGTTATCTTGTGATGTGTTTATATAACCAATCTGAAAGGCTTATCATGGGTTTTTAAATCAGACAGTCCTGAGTTCGGGCTCCTCAACTTATTGATTCTGTGGCTTTTACTCTTTAGTTTTCTTACTACAAGATTAGAATGATAATTCTGTTTTATGGGGTTGTTTTGAAGCCTAGAGATAATATTTGGTAAAGATCTAGAAATAATGTATAAAAACACTTTCATAGTGCTTGATACACACTTATGAAATGGTATCTTATTATTTGCTATGTAATTGCAGTGCATTTCTGATACAAACCATCTAGAGTTAGGCTAGACTTTAGCTAGAGGCTCAAGTTACCCATAAGACTGTCCTCACTTCAGACACTAGAAAGCTCAAGGGTTTCCAGGTCATTGCATTTCTAACTAGCTACAAATTGGGGGGTTTTGCACTAGTTCTTAAGATTGAATACTTGTAACTGCAGTTTTATTATAGCAAAAAAATTTCAGCCAAATGAGACTTAGGCCAAGGTTTTGGAGGGTCACAAATATGAAGCTTCTCTGTCCGCTCTACAAAGAATGAGGATTCCGCCTCTCTCCACATACACACACCCCCAAATCCACTTCTGTAACAATGTGCAGAATTTTGTTAACCAAGGAAAAATCACTGGAGCTTTGGTGTTAAGTTTTCTGCGATTTCATTATTTAGGCATAATTGATTGAGTCACTGGCCACTTTGATTTAATTCAATATCTTGTACCCCAGCCAGCTAGCTAATCATGTTCCATTTTTTTCTGGCAGGGACAGGCCCCATTCTGAGTCATCTCTTTAGCATAAACTGTCCGGGTGACTTTAATGAGTCACTCTGTTAACATAAACCATTAACTGCAGTCCCAGGCGGGGTTCCCCCCCCCAGCCCCCCCATGAATAACAAGCACCCTTTTCACTGTTGGAAATTCCAAGGATTTAAAGGGTACTTGCCAGGAAACTGGAACAAAGACCTGCCAATAATGTATTAGCATATACTTTGTTACTTATATTACTGTTACCTAACATAAAATTAATATACAAGTTCATATAAATTAAGAACATTGGGTCTGGGGTTGGGACTATGGTTCAGTGGTAGGGTGTTTGCCTAGCACATGTGAGGCACTGGATTTGATCCTCAGCACCTCATAGAAATAAATAAATAGATAGATAGATAGATAGATAGATAGATAGATAGATAAAGATATTCTGTCCATCTATAACTAAAAAATAAATAAATAAATAAATAAAGTATTTAGGGAACCAGTTTTTTTTTTTTTTTCATCTGAAAATAGTGCCTCCAACATGCCAGGCATTATACTTATTAAGCATTTAGTAGTGAAAGAAAAATAGTCTTATTTTCCAATCTTGGGGTTTAGAGTATAGTGAGGGAAACAAAAAATAAGCAAATATATAACTTCTGGTAAAGCTGCAATGAAAAGGTTGCAGAGACATGTAGTAAGTAATCCACTAGTCACAATGATCAGGAGAGACCAATGTGACTGAAATGTAGTTTATTGGGAGAGAATAGAATGAGTTGAAGTTATGAGGTAGGGGGTCTGGTCATACTGTTAGGAATTCCATGATGAAGAATATTTATTTGAAAGTATAATATAAGTTATTAAAGTATTCTAAGCAGGGAAGTATTACAGTCATTTCACTCCCCCTTTCCCCCACTCAGCTACATTAAAAAAAACCCACATGTGGTGGCAGGAGGATCATAAGTTTAAGGCTAGCCTCAGCAGACTTAGCATGACTCTGTCTCAAAATGAAATCGGCTGGGTATGTAGTTCAGTGTTAGAGTGCCTCTGGTTCAATCCTCCTCTTACCAGAAAAGTAAAGATAACTGATTACTCTATGGAGATAGACTATAAGGGGTTGAGTGGGGCTGCGTGGTGTTTCAGTCAGCTTTTTCATTGCTGTGACTTAAAGACTGGACCAAAACAACCGTAGAGGAGGAAAAGTTTATTTAGGGGCTCAAGATTTCAGAGGTCTTAGTGCATAGAAGCCTGGCTCCATTCCTCGGGGCTGGAGGTGAGGCAGAACACCATGGCAGAAGGGTGTAGTAGAGGGAAGCAGTTCATGTGATGGTTAGAAAGCAAAGAGAGATCTCTACTCTTTAGATACAAGATATATACCCCCTAGCCACACCCCCAATAAACTACTTTCTTCAGCCACACCCCACCTGTCTTCAGTTACCACCCCGTTAATCCCATCAGGGATTAATTCACTAATTAGGTAAAGGCTATGACCCTATCATTTCTCCTCTAAACCTCTTGCATTGTTCTTACCTGTGAGCTTTTGGGGGACACCTCATATCCAAACCATAACAGGTGGGGAGATCATTAAGAAGGTTAAAGGAGGCTATGTAATAGGGCAAACGAAAGACTAGTAGAAGCTGTGGTGGAAAGTGGGTGGGTTAGATATAGTGAATGAGGGAAAGTGAGAATTAAATCCAAACCTAGGGATTTTGATTGAGCAATTAGGTAAGGGGGAGTGAGTGAACATGGTAAGCGTGAGATCCCTTTGAAGTAAACTGAACTGAAACTGAAAAGTTATGTAGAAATATGGTTGCCCAAAAGGAAAAATATTGTTGCCAGTTATATCTCCTGTGTATCTCCGATAATACAATTGTTTTTGTTGAAAAGTTCAGAAGTAGAGTGATACTTAGTTGGGAGTTCAGTTTCCAGAAGTTCTAGAGCAAAAAATGTTCAGTTGAAAAGCTATGTATCACCGTAATGAAACAGTAATGGTGAAGAAATTGGAGAAACTAGAAGTAAACTCAGGCTCTTGGACAACAAAAGAAATGATGAATTTTACCACGCATTTGTTAACTAAATTCAACAAACACTCATTGGATTTTTCCTTTTGCTCAGGCATGCCAGTCATAAATCCATTTCTTCTCTAACAAAGGATCAGCAAAATGTAGTGAAAGATATCTTATTATTTTATTTTTTGTGGTACTGGTGATTGAACCCAGCACCGTAACCATGCGAGGCAAGCATTCTACCCCTGAGCTCCATTCCCGACTCTTTTTTATTTTGAGTCAGGGTCTCACTAAGTTGCTCAGGGTGGTCTCCAATTTATGATCCTCTTGCTTCAGCCTTCCAAGCCTTTGGGATTACATGCATGTGTCACCATCTCCAGCTGGTGAAAACATTTAATACTTTAGAAAATGAAGTTGGTTGATATTCAAAGCTCTTCAGATATTCAAAGATGCACATAATGTTCAGTTGAAAAGGAAAGGAATTACAAGTGAGCTGGCTTTCAAGCTGACCCTCAAAGGATGAATTTTGGGCAGAGGAGAATAAATCACTTTAGGTGGTGGGAAACACTAATGGAAGGCTTAATTGTGTTTGTGGAACCATGAGTAGCACCTGGTAAATAGCGCTTGAGGAAGTTTGAAGGCATTCAGAGGTAGAGTGATACTTAGTTGGGAGTTCAGTTTCCAGAAGTTCTAGAGCAAAATGTTTTCAACTTTTTGGATCAAGCTACAGAATCTCTCAGGCAAGTTTGATTTAAATAGGATTTCTTGGTTGGCAGTTTAGAAGTTTTGAGGGTTAGTAATCCGCCATATTTGGATACAAAGTTTTTTTTTTTAATAAATACTTTGAAAATCAAATATGAATGTTGCTATCTAGGCTTGTAAGAATACTGATATGATTTTGTAGTTATTTTTAAGTGATGATTGCGAAGACTCTAGAGATGTAAAAATGCCTATATGTCATAATTCAAAGGAATGTGAAACTAATATTATATCTGGGTGGGAGAGTAACAATGATTTTTAAAATATTATTTTTATATTTTTGCACTAAGTAAAAATAACTAAGGTGGAAGAAAGCCTGTATCTGTACCTTACACATATTTTTATGTTATTTAGTGCCTGCACTAATTCCATTTAGAATATGTCTACTATAGCTTATCTACACACACAATCTGGGCTAGTACCCCAACCATCTCTAAAAATAAGTAGCTTATGGAATCATTAAATTTTGCTCTCAGTACCACTTGAGGCTCTTAAAAAATTACTGATAATTCAAAGAATTTTTGTTATGTAGGTTATATCTGTCAATGTTTATCATGATAGAAGTTAAAAACGGTTTTTTTTTAACCATCAAATATTCGGATTTTTATAATCGGAAACTGAAAGTTTGTAAATTGAAAATTTGTCAATAGAGAAATTTCTGTGCTTGTAAAACAAAAACATGAATATTCACTGAAAAATAATTCCATGACATGCTAACACAAACATATTTTTAGGAAAGATATTTTCAAAATGAAAAAAAGAAATATTTTTACAAATATCTTCAGTGGCTAGCTTATTAAAAAACAACTAGATTCTCATTCGCTTTTGATTCAGTCATTGTGATATTGTATGTCCTGTAAGTCTCTGAAACCTGCATTGTACAATTGAGAGTGAGTGAAGGTTTTAAGAAGCAAATAACACCTTAGATTTATTAAGGAAAAGTATTTTGACCTTAAGGACCCCTGAAAGGAAAAGGGTGTCTTCCTACCCATTTGAGAACTGCTGACCTAACATTTGTCTATATTTTCCATCTTTAGCATTATTTATTTACTAACACTCAGAATCCTTCTTGAGGAAAGGATTGGGACAGTGTTCTCTTCTTTGAGACACTATGTGTATACAGCACACTTCAGAATCTAGTTAACACATTGTTTATGCTGTTTAGCTTTCTTGTACATATGTGTCTTATTTTCTGTCCA